AATATGAAAATTTCGGAATTTCTCCACGACCTTGAAAGCTTGACTAAGGACATTTTCTTGTACATTCCGACATACATAAGTTACTAAGGGCTTCATTTCTTCGATAACTCCTACAATTTTTCCAGAATCGTCGGTTAATTGAAATATACAGTTTTTTGGATTTTTCTCAAAAATTGCATTTCAAACGAAATGGTTCTAAAATGTTGACTCGACACCATAAAAACGCTATATTTTTGGAATAAGAACGTCGAAAACTATATCCTACAATTTTTTGAGTATTTTTAAATAAGTTTTTCAAAACCAAAATTTTTCCATAATAGAGCATTGAATTATGACAATTATAAGACAACAATAAAAGTGCTATATTTTTGCAATCAGCACTTCGAATAGTATGTCACAGAATTTTTGAGAATTTTTAGACGACTTTTCAAAGCCAAAATTTTTCAGTATGAAGATTCTTCGATAACAACTACAATTTTTCCAGAATCACACATGAAACGTGTCAATTTTTTGGATTTACAAAAAAAAAATCATTTCAAACCAAATATTTCTAAAATCTTATCATAATATATTTTTTAAATCAGGACTTCGAATTTTCAGACAACTTTTCAAAGGCAAAATTTTTCAATATGAAAATTTCGGAATTCTTTCGCCATCTTCGAAACTTAACTAAATACATTGTCTTGCACATTTCGACTTACCGAATTTTTCGACCTCGTTTCCTAAATAACTACCATTTTTCCAGAACCGACCACTGAAGTATTATAAATTTTTGAATAAAAAGATATATTATTTCAAATCAAATATTTCTAAAATCTTGCAACGGTACCATAAAACGCTATAATTTTGTAATCATCACGTCGAGATATCACAAAATTTTTGAAGAATTTTTGAACAACTTTTCAAATCCAAAGTTTTTCAATATGAAAATGCACATATGAATTTTCTCACTACTTTGGAAACTTGACTAAAGATATTTTCTTGTACATTTCGACATACAGAAGTTACCAGCAGCCTAATTTCTTCAATAACTCCTACCACTTTCCCAAAATGGACACTTGGAATGTGTCAATTTTTTTGATTAAAAAAAATGCTTTTGAAACCAAATATTTCTAAAATCTTGCCCCAAGAAACAAAAACCGCTATATTTCTGGAATCAGCATGTCTAAATCTATATCACAGAATTTTTTAAGGATTTTTAGACACTTTTTAGACAATACCTTTGAATATGAAAATTTCGGATTTTTTCAACCATATTTGACACTTAACTAACTAATTTTTCTTGTACATTTCAACATACAGGCTAAAGGTCTAACTGCTAAGATAACTCCTACCACTTTTCCAAAATAAATACTTGAAGTGTTTGAATTTTTTGAATTAAAAAAAATGCATTTCAAACCAAATATTTATAAAATCTTACTCCATGAAAAAAAAACACTATATTTTTGGAATCAGCACGTCTAAATCTATATCACGGAATTTTTGAGAATTTGTACACAACTTTTTCACAGTCAAAATTTTTCAAAATGAAAATTTCGGATTTTTATCATCATTTTCGAAACCTAACTGGACTTTTTCTTGTACATTTCCACATATATAAGTTACTAAGAGCTTCATTCCTTCGATAACTCCTACCATTTTTCCCAAATTTTTTTGGATTTGTCTCATAAATTGCATTTCAAACGTAATATTTCTAAAATATTGATCCGAGACCTTAAAAACTCTATATTTTTGGAATCAGAACGTCAAAAACTATATCATAGAATTTATGAAAATTTCGGAATTTTTCGACCACCTTCGAAACTTAACTAAAGACATTTTCTTGTACATTTCGACCTAAAGAAGATACTATCGACCTCTTGATATCTACAATTTTCCGGGATCGACCATTCAAGTAATACAATATTTTTGGATTAAAAAAAATTGTATGCCAAATCAAATATTTGTACAATCTTGGCCCAGGACCATAAAAACTCTATGTTTTTGACATCAGCAAGTCGAAAGTCACAGAATTTTTAAGAGTTTTTAGAGAATTTTTTGTTGAGGACTTTTAGACAAAGCAAAAATTTTTTAATATGAGAATTTTGGAATTTTTTACCACCTTGGAGCCTCAGCTAAAGACATTTTCTTATAAAATTCAACCCCCGGAAATTACTTTCCTCTTAAAAAAAAAGCGTATATTTTTGAAATCAGCACATCAAAAACTATATCACAGAATTTTTTGAGAATTTTCAGGCAACTTTCTGAAAACCAAAATTTTCATTATAAAAATTTCAAAATTTCTTTCACCACCTTGGAAACTTAACTAACGACATTTTCTTCTACATTTCGACATAGATAAATTATCTTCGATCTCATTTCTTCGATAACTACCACTGGTACCACTTTTCCAGAATCGACCATGAAATATGACAATTTTTTGGAATAAAAAAAAAATGCATTTCCAACCAAATATTTCTAAAATCTTGCCCCGGGACCATAGGAGAGTACATTTTTGGAATTAGCGTGTTTAAAACTATGTCAGGAATTTTTCGAGAATTTGTACACAACTTTTTCAAAGCCAAAACTTTTCAAATATGACAATTTCGAAATTTTTTCACCATTTTCAGAACTCAACTGAAAGCAACATTTCTTGTTTATTTCAACATAATAAGTTACTAAAAGCTTCATGTCTTCGATAACTCGTACCATTTTTTTAGAATCGTCCGTTGAAATACGACAGTTTTTTGGATTTGTTTCAAAAATTACATTTCAAACCGAATATTTCTAAAATGTCGACCCGACACCATAAACACCCTATATTTTTGGAATCACTACGTCGAAATCTATAACCCAAAAGTTTTTGAGGACACTTGGACCACTTTTTTAAAAGCAAAATTTTTCAAAATGAAAATTTCGGAATTCTTTCACCATCTTCGAAACTTAACTAAATACATTTTCTTGTACATTTCGACCTATAATATGTATTTCCAGACAAATATTCCTAAAATTTTGCATCGGGACCATAAAATGGTATATTTTTGCAATCAGCACGTTAAAAAGTATATCATAGAATTTTATGAGAATTTGTACACCAATTTTTCAAAGTTAAAATTTTTCAATATGAAAATTTAGGAATTTTTTCACCATTTTCGAAACTGAACTAAAACATTTTCTTTACTTCTCCTACAATTTTTCCAGAATAGACCATTGAAGCATGACAATTTTTTGGATTAAAAGAAATTCATTTCAAACCAAATATTTCCAAAATCTTGCACCAGGATCACAAAAGGACTATATTTTTGAAAACAGCACGTCGGAATCTACATAACAGAATCTTTTGAGAATTTTTTGATAACTTTTCGAAGCCAGAATTTTTCAGTATGAAAATTTCGGAGTATTTTCATCACTTAACTAACGACATTTTTTATGCATATCAACCTCCAGAAATTACTTTTAACCTCATTTCTTCGATAATTCCTATAATTTGTCCAGAATCGTCCAATGAGATATGCCTTTTTTTAATTATATTTTAAAAAATTATAACTTGCCTGCGACCATAAAAACGCTAGATTTTTGGAATGAGAACGTTGAAAACTATATTCCTGAATTTTTTGAGAATTTTAAGTCAACTTTTTCAAAACCAAAATTTTTCAATACCTCCTCATCAAATTTTCGGAATTTTTCGACCACCTTCGAAACTTAACCAAAGACATTTTCTTGTACATTTCGTCATTCAAATGTTACTTTTGACCTCATGTCTTCGATAAATCCTACAATTTTTGCAGAATCGACCATTGAAGTATGTATGACAATTTTTAGATTTTCAAGAAAAACGCATTTCAAACTAAATATTTCTAAAATCTTATCATAAAAGGGCTATATTTTTTAAATCAGCACTTCGAAATTTATATCACAGAATTTGTTGAGAACTTTTAGGCAATTTTTCAAAGCCAAAATTTTTCGATATGAAAATTTCGGAATTTTTTCACCACTTTCGAAACTTACCGACATACATAAGTTACTAAAGGCTCTATTTCTTCGATAACGCCTACCATTTCTCCGCAATCAACACTTGAAATATGACAATTTTTTGGATTTTTTTTCAAAAATTGCATTTCAAACCAAATATTTCCGCAACTCGCCTCGTCACCATAAAAAGCTATATTTGTGGAATTAGGACGTCGTTGGATAACTTTTTAAAATCAAAATTTTTCATTTTTATATTAAAGAAAATTAAGTAATAATATGGGAAATCCATTTGATAAATCTCAGAAAAATCACGTCATGCATTACCAGTATGTAGTTTTCGTCACCACAGAACAGAATATATTAGAACACAGCTTGTATTTTCTATAATTTTAAAAAACTTTAATTGGACAACACACATGATCAAAGAAATCCTTGCTACAAATTATTATTCAAAAAAAAAAAAAACGTAGACAAAGGTTTAAAATCCTCCATCTATCCGTTTCTCACATTGTGTTCAGATACACATTTTCTTTTAATTGGTAGCTTCAACTTGAATAATTATAAAGTACTGTTAAAATGACGTCATAATGATATCCTGGAAAATTCCGCCTCCACAACAAAAGTAAATACAATTTCCTGTAAAGCGTTTAAAAATGTTAATTTAATTAAGATAATTACTTAATGGACACTTAACTTAATTTACCGTTTATGTGGTACCTAAAGAGTCAATTTGTAACCATTTATTTTATTAAAAACTTGCCCTCTTTCGATTTTTCGCTTCTGAATTCCGCCTGAACAAAAAAACACAATTAAAAATAGGCGTCATTTTTTAAATCCACACCTTGCAATTTAAACCAATAAATTTAGAACAAACGGTGTAGGCTGGTCTGCATATAAATGTACTTTTAACCTTGACAATTATTATTCATGAAAAATGCATATTTTTAGAAGTGACAAAAATTTGATCAGTATCATCCTTCGTGTCACTTCAACCACAAATAAATTATCCCCGCAATTATTATTTTTTTAATCTGTGTGAATGACACGACGATAAAAATAGATTAATAAATAAAAAACTATAAATACACCCGTTAAACACCCAAACAGATCGTGAAAAATTACCAACGTATCGATCCTTCCGATCCTCGATAGTAACTAATTATCGGCCAACAACTAATCCCACCAAAAATAAACGCGCTCCAAACATCCGCGCCTCCGATAATAATAATGTTGTCATTAACTTACCAAGTGAGTCACCTTCCAAGGCCGATCGTGTATACAGCTAGTTTTTATGATCCTCTATTTTAGTCCGCACTCGCAGTAAGTTAGGTAATGCACTAGAACAATATTATCAGTGTTTTCTTATCAGTTCCACCCAACCTGATAAAGTCAATCGTTGCAGAAATGTTGTGGATCACATGTGCAGCAATCTTCACCCTAATTTTCCTCTACTACAAGCTCCTCAAACCCATCCGCTACTGGGAAGAACGCGATGTCCCACACGTGAAAGCCTGGCCAGTATTTGGAAGCCTAAAGCCCTTCGTCCTGAAGAAAAAACACCTAACTGAAGTCCTCAACGACATCTACAAACAACACCCTAATGAAAGGTCAGTACTGACAAGTCACCACAATCATGATCATTGATTCTTCCAGATGCGTGGGCTACATGCAATTCACCCGACCCTTCCTCATGATCAAAGACCTAGAACTGATCAAGAGAATCACGATCAAAGATTTCGATCACTTCCACGATCATCTAGCTTTTGAAAACTTAAAAAGCGATCCTCTGCTATCCAGAAGCGTAATGAGCTTGAGTGGCGAGAACTGGAGACGCATGAGAGCCACCTTAAGCCCTGTGTTCACAAGCGGCAAAATGCGGATCATCTACAACCTGGTAACGGAGTGCGCCGAAAATTTTGTCAAACACTTCCAAGACAAAGAAAATGTGCCCATTGAAATGAAAGACGTGTTTTCTAGATTTGCCAATGACGTGATAGCGACGACTGCGTTTGGGGTGTCCGTTGACTCGTTGGCCAACCCTGATAACGATTTTTTTAAAATGGGAAGCAACTTCACTAGTTTTAGTGTGGCGACGATTGTCAAGATTTTCTTGTTGCAGACCATGCCAGTGCTAGCTAACGTAAAGTTGTAGTAGAAATTTGACACTGATTCTACATAGAAGGCGTTTTTAGTTGCTGCAAATCCAGCTGTTTACAGACGACGTGAGTCTGTTCTTTAGAAATTTGGTTAAAGACAACATTAAGAAAAGAGAGACGGAGGGAATAGTTAGACCAGATTTGATTCACATGTTGATGGAAGCTAGAAAAGGACACTTGAACCCCGACAGTGCTAAAGAAAGAGAAGAAAGCTTGATGTGTCTTAGTGAAGAGGTCAAAAATGCTGCTCCTTTGGAACTGAGTGATGACGATATTGTTGCCCAAGCTTTGGCTTTCTTTTTTGCTGGTTTTGACACGGTTTCCACTGGTTCTAGTTTCATGGCACACGAACTTGCACTTCACCCAGAAGTCCAAAAGAAACTACAGTTAGAGGTTGATTCTGTCAATAAAGAACACAGCGGAAAAGTTCCGTATGAAGCCATACAAACCATGAAGTATTTAGACCAAGTAGTGTGTGGTAACTTTGACACTCTTTGGTGATAATTTAGTGACTTTTCGTTGCAGAAACGTTACGGTTGTGGCCGCCTGGTTTCCAAACTGACAGGTTATGCAGCAAAGACTATGTGATAGAGCCGAAAAACCCTAAAGAAAAGGTGGTTTTTGTGGCCAAAGGTTCGTCTGTGATGATTCCCATATTTTCGTTGCATCGTGATCCTAAGTATTTCTATGATCCGGATAAGTTTGATCCGGAGAGGTTTAGTGAGGAGAATAAGGGGGAGATTGTGCCGGGGACGTACTTACCATTTGGTATGGGGCCCCGGAATTGTATCGGTAGAAAGTTAAACTAACCTTGGTGAAATAAGTACTGTCAAATTTTGTTGCAGGTTTGAGATTCGCCCTCCTTGAAATGAAGGTTCTATTTTTCCATTTGTTGTTGAATTTTATTATAGTCCCAGTGGAAGAAACCGCAATTCCGTTAAAAATTAGTCCAAAGAAGATTAATTTTGCTCCAGAAAATGGGTTTCAGTTGAGTTTGAAGCCAAGAACCAAGCGATGAATTGAGGAATATTTAAATATTTGGGGGTTATTAGTTTTTATTTTTATTTACTTGGTGTGACAAATGATGTTTTTTAAGTACATGTTATCGGTTTTTATCAGCCCTACTGCCATGTAAAATTTATGGGGCATGGAGTTACTTTAAAGTTCTTGAACACATTACCATTTATTTGTATACTTATTAGGGACACATAATATGTTATTTTATTAAAAATTTATTTTTTTTAATTCACTTTTATTTGTACCTTAAAATTTTGTCTAGAAAATGGTATTTAAATTTTATAAAATGGCATACTTTTATATTTTTGGTTTTTGAATCAGACTTGATTTTGATGCGCTAACGCGAAGGGCGCAGGTTCGATCCCCTCATGGGTCACTTTTTTCTTACGCTGTGACTGGTTTTATCTGTATTATTTTTCCTAAAAAACTTTTGGAATGTAGTTTTTTAACATAATTTTATTGCAAAATGCAACATTACTAATATTTTTATTTTTGTCAGAAGGACGTCCGGATTGTCGGAAAAACTGAAAACGAAAATTTTTCTTTCTATTGCTGTTATTTTTTAGATAAAATAAAGTGTTCTGTAATTTGCTTATGGAAGAAAATTATAAGGATAACATTGGTGGTGCCCTAAATCAGAATTACTACCGAATAGTTGAAAAAAGAAAAATTCTAGAATTCTAGGTATTTGTGAAAAGACGAGTTTCAGAAAAATTTGGACTCCAGTTCAAGAATGTTGGTAAAGAGAAAAGCTAAAAGTCAGTAAAGTTTGAAGAGACGAAAATCGACAGATTCTAGAAGAGTCCAAAAAAGAAGGGAAGTGACAAAGCTGGGTAGATTTAGAATCTTTCCATCCAGAAAAACCTCTCATAATATTATGTAGTTTCTTTTCTTTCTACTATTACAATATACTCCTATTTCAAATGAAATAAAGTATTTTTTATTTGATCATGGAAGGAAATTATAAGAATTTATTTGGACTTCATTTTAAGAATGTTGGTAGAAAGAGAAGTTAGAAGCCAGTAAACCGCGCCGAGATGGAAGTCGAAGCCATAGCATTGCCAAAAAAATCGAGAAGAATTCTTCTAGAATTCTACGGTACTGGAACTCAAAAAAAAGACAACTGACATCGAATTGGAAAAATTATGGATTTCTGAAAAACTGAAAACCGAAAAGTGTCTTAAAGTAGTTTCTTTTTGTTTCTATTGCTATGTTATCTTTTAAATAAAATAAAGAATTGTGTACATATGGTACTAGTGAAAAAAAAAACATTTTCAGAAGAATTTGGATTTTCAGAAAAGTGACAACGCTGGGTGAAGATTTGGAATCTACCATCGAGGAAAACGCTATTCTGTTGAATTAGAACCACAAGACGAATCATAGGTTTTATAAAAATTGAAAAATGAAAACAGCTCTTATCATAGTTTTTTTTCTACTGCTAAGTCAGTAATTTTCGCCCACATAAATGAAAATTGAAACAATGTGATATTCGAAAGATTCTGTAAGAATTCTTCTAAAATTCTAGGAGACTGAAATCCAAGGAAGAAGAAAAATGACAACGCTAGGTAAAGTTTTAGAATCTTCCATCGAGAAAAGCGCTATTCTGTTGAATTAGAACCACACCACAAGACGAATTATGGATTTTAAAAAAATTGAAAAATGTAAACAATTCTAATAATAGTTTTTTTTCTTCTACTATGTTACATTTTAGAAGGAATAAACTATTTAGTTTTTATGTAAATATGGAAATAAATTATGAGAATAAGATTAGTGGAGCCCTAAATCGCGATCACTAACGAATAGTTGAGAAAGAAAACATTCTAGAATTGTTTTTTTTTTTTAGAAGAATTTATTTGGACTTCATTTGAAGAATGTTGGTGAAAAGAGAAGCTAGAAGTCAGTAATTTTCGCCCAGATGGAAGTTGAAGCCGTGTGATAACTAAAAAAATCTAGAAGGATACTTCCAGAATTCTATGGTACTGGAACCCAAAAAAGAAGAAAACTGACATCGAATTAGAAGAATTATGAATTCCGGAAAAATTGAAAAACGAAGAGTCTTATAATAGGTTCCTTTTCTTTCTATTGCTATGTTATCATTTAGATATAATAAAGAATTTTTTATATGGTATTTGAGAAAAAACCAATTTCAGAAGAATTTGGACTGCAATTAAAAAATGTTGGTGAAAAGAGAAGCTAGACGTCAGTAAATTCACAAAAATGAAAATTGAAACCATGTGATATTCGAAAGATTCTATAAGAATTCTTCTAGAATTCCAAGAGACTGAAGTCCAAGAAAGAAGAAAAGTGACGACGCTAGGTGAAGATTTAGAATCTTCCATCGATAAAAACGCTATTCTGTTAAATTAGAACCACAAGACGAATTATAGATTTCAGAAAAACTGAAAAATGAAAACAACTCTTATCATAGTTTTTTTTTCTACTGCTATGTTACATTTTAGAAGGAATAAACTATTTAGTTTTTATGTAAATATGGAAAGAAATTGTGAGAATAAGATTAGTGGAGCCCTAAATCGGGATCACTAACGAATAGTTGAGAAAGAAAAGATTCCAGATTTGTTTTTTTTTTTTTAGAATAATTTATTTGGACTTCATTTGAAGAATGTTGGTGAAAAGAGAAGCTAGAAGTCAGTAATTTTCGCCCAGATGAAAATCGAAGCCGTGTCATATCCAAAAAAATCTAGAAGGATACTTCCAGAATTCTATAGAACGGGAACTCAAAAAAGAAGAAAACTGGCATCGAATTAGAAGAATCATGGATTTCGGAAAAATTGAAAAACGAAAAGAGTTTCTATTGCTATGTTATCATTTAGATATAATAAAGAATTTTTTAATGGTATTTGAGATAAAACCAATTTCAGAAGAATTTGGACTGCAATTCAAGAATGTTGGTGAAAATAGAAGCTAGAAGGCAGTAAAGTTCACAGAAATGAAAATTGAAACCATGTGATATTTGAAAGATTCTATAAGAATTCTTCTAGAATTCTAGGAGACTGAAGTCCAAGAAAGAAGAAAAGTGACAACGCTAGGTGAAGATTTAGAATCTTCCATGGATAAAAACGCTATTCTGTTGAATTAGAACCACAAGACGAATTATGGATTTCAAAAAAATTTAAAAATGTAAACAAATCGTATAATAGTTTTTTTCCTACTGCTATATTATATTTTAGATGAAATAAAATATGTTTTAATTGATTATAGCAGAAATTGATAAGAATAAGATTAGTGGGGACTTAAAGCGGAATCATAGGCGAATAGTTGTCAAAAAAAGATCCTAGAAGTCTATTTGGGTGAAGATCAATTTTAGAAGAATTTGGACTTCAGTTCAAAAATGTTGGTGAATAGAGAATCTAGAAGTCAGTAAACTTCGCAGAGGTGGAAGTTGAAGCCGTATAAAATCTAGAGGAATTCTTCAAGACTTTTAGGAAGATGAAGTCCTAAAAAGAAGAAAATTGGTAACGTTACGTGAAGGATTTAAAATTTTCCATCGAAAAAAACGCTATCCTTATGAACTGAAACCACAAGAGTAATTATGGATTTTTATAAAAATTAAAAAATTAAAATAACTCTTATCATGGTTTCTTTTTTTTCTTTTTTCTTTCTATTGCTATTGTAAATGAAATAAAATATTTTTTATTTGATTATGGAAGGAAATTATAAGAACAAGATTAGTGGAGCCTTAAATCGGAACCACAAACGAATAGTTGAGAAAAGAAAAAATCGCAGAATTCTATTTGAGTGAAGACCAATTTTAGAAGAATTTGGACTTCAGTTCAAAAATATTGGTGAAGAGAGAGCTAGAAGTCAGTGAACTTCCCAGAGATGAAAATTGAAGCTATAAGGTACTCGAAGTTTCTATAAAAGTTCTTCTAGAATTCTAGAAGACTGGAGTCCGAGAATAAAGAAAAGTGATAACGTTGGCTGAAGATTTAGAACCTCCATTGAGAAAAACGATGTTCTTGTGAATGAAAACCCCAACACTAATTATGGACTTTTAGAAAAATAAAAAAATAGAAAACAACCCTTATAATAGATTTTTTTACTGCTACATTATATTTTAGATGAAATAAAATATTTTTTAATTGATTGTGGTAGGAATTGATACGAATAAGATTAGTGGGGACTTAAATCCGAATCACAGGCGAATAGTTGACAAAAAAGATCCTAGAAGTCTATTTAGGTGAAGATCAATTTCAGAAGAATTTGGACTTCAGTTCAAGAATTTTGGTGAATAGAGAATCTAGAAGTCAGTAAACTTCGCAGAGGTGGAAGTTGAAGCCGTATAAAATCTGGAGCAATTCTTCAAGACTTTTACGAAGATGAAGTCCTAAAAAGAAGAAAATTGGCAACGTTACGTGAAGGATTTAAAATCTTCCATCGAAAAAAACGCTATCCTTATGAACTGAAACCACAAGAGTAATTATGGATTTGTATAAAAATTAAAAAATGAAAATAACTCTTATCATAGTTTCTTTTTTTTCTTTTTTCGTTCTATTGCTATTGTAAATGAAATAAAAAATGTTTATATGATTATGGAAGGTAATTATAAGAACAAGATTAGTGGAGCCTTAAATCGGAATCACAAACATATAGTTGAGAAAAGAAAAAATCGCAGAATTCTATTTGAGTGAAGACCAATTTTAGAAGAATTTGGACTTCAGTTCAAAAATATTGGTGAAGAGAGAGCTAGAAGTCAGTGTACTTCGCAGAGATTCAAATTGAAGTCATAAGGTACTCGAAGTTTCTATAAAAGTTCTTCTAGAATTCTAGAAGACTGGAGTCCGAGAATAAAGAAAAGTGATAACGTTGGCTGAAGATTTAGAACCTCCATTGAGAAAAACGATGTTCTTGTGAATGAAAATCCCAACACTAATTATGGACTTTTAGAAAAATAAAAAAATAGAAAACAACTCTTATAATAGATTTTTTCCACTGATATATTTTAGATGAAATAAAATAATTTTTATTGATTATGGAAGGAATTGATAAGAATAAGATTAGTGGGGACTTAAATCCGAATCACAAGCGAATAGTTGATAAAAAAGATCCTAGAAGTCTATTTGGGTGAAGATCAATTTTAGAAGAATTTGGACTTCAGTTCAAGAATGTTGCTGAATAGAGAATCTAGAAGTCAGTAAACTTCGCAAAGGTGGAAGTTGAAGCCATATGATAACCGAAAAAATCTAGAGGAATCCTTCAAGAGTTTTAGGAAGATGAAGTCCAAAAAAAGGAAAACTGACTTTTAGAAAATTTAAAACATGAAAACAAGTCTTTTTATATATTTTTTCCTGCTGCTATGTTATATATATTTTAGATCAAACAAAATATTTTTTAATTAATTATGGAAGCAAATTATAAGAACAAGATTACTGGAGACCTAAATCGGAATGATTAACGAATAGTTCACAAAAGAAAAGATTTTTGAATTCTGTTTGGGTGAAGACCAGTTTTTCAAGAATATGGACTTCAGTTCAAGAATGTTGGTGGAGAGAGAAGCTAGAAGTCAGTAAACTTCGCAGAGGTGGAAATTTCAGCCATACGATAACCAAAAAAAATCTAAAGAAATTCTAGAATTCTAGGAAGCTGAAGTCCAAAAATGAAGAAAATTGGCAACGTTAGGTGAAGGATTTAAAGTCTTCTAAAATGAACACAACTCTTATGATAGGTTTTTTTCTGCTGCCATGTTATATTTTAGGTGAAATAAAATATTTTCTAATTGATTTATAGAAGGAAATTATAAGAATAAGATTAGTGGGGAGCTAAATCGGAATCACTAACGAATAGTTGACAATAGAAAAGATTCTAGAATTATATTTGTGTGAAGATAAATTTTAGAAGAATTTGGACTTCAGTTCAAGAATGCCGGTAAATTGAGATTCTAGAAGTCAGTAAACTTCGCGGAGGTGGAAGTTGAAGCCATAAGATAACCAAAAAAATCTAAAAAAATTCTAGAATTTTAGGAAGCTGAAGTCCAAAAATGAAGAAAACTGGCAACGTTGGGTGAAGGATTTAAAATCTTCTAAAATGAACACAACTCTTATGATAGGTTTTTTTCTGCTGCTATGTTATATTTTAGGTAAAATAAAATATTTTCTACTTTATTTATAGAAGCAAATATATAAGAATAAGATTAGTGAGGACCTAAATCGGGATCACTAACGAATAGTTGACAATAGAAAAGATTCTAGAATTATATTTGTGTGAAGATCAATTTTGAAGAATTTGGACTTCAGTTCAAGAATGGTAGTAAATTGAGATTCTACAAGTCAGTAAACTTCGCGGAGGTGGAAGTTGAAGCCATATGATAACCAAAAAAATCTAAAGAAATTCTAGAATTTTAGGAAACTGAAGTCCAAAAATGAAGAAAACTGGCAACGTTAGGTGAAGGATTTAAAATCTTCTAAAATGAACACAACTCTTATGATAGGTTTTTTTCTGCTGCTGTTATATTTTAGATAAAATAAAATATTTTTTTAATGATTATGGAAGCAAATGGTAAGAATAAAATCAGTGGGGACTTAAATGGTAATCACTAACGAATAGTTGACAAAAGAAAAGATTCTAGAATTCTATTTGTGTGAAGATCAGTTTTAGAAGAAATTGGACTTCTAGTCAAAAATCTTGGTGAATAGAGAATCTAGAAGTCAGCAAACTTCGCAGATGGAAGTTGAAGTCATATGATAGCCAAAAAGATGTAGAAAAATAATTCTTCTACAATTCTACCATATTAGAACACAAAAAACGAATTAGACTTTCTAATTATGGATTTCGGAAAAACTGAAAAATGAAAACAGCCTTATAATAAGTTCTTTCTTTTTGCTATTACTATGTTATCTTTTAGATAAAATAAAGCATTTTAATGATTAGGGAAGAAATTTATAAGGGTGCCCTAATTCAGAATCGTTGAAAAAAGAAGAAAATCTAAAATTATATATATTTGTGAAAGACCAGTTTCAGAAGAATTTGGACTTCAGTTCAAAAAATCGATAAGAATTCTAGAATTTTCTGAGACTGGAGTCCAAGAAGGAAGAAAAGTGAAACATTGGGTAAAGATTTATATACCCTAAATCGGAATCACTACCGAATAGTTGAGAAAAGAAAAGATTCTAGAATTATATTCTATTCTAAGATCAGTTTTAGAAGAATTTGAACTTCAGTCAAAAATGTTGGTAAAATCTAGAAAAAAGCATCTACATAATTCTAGGAAACTGGAGTTCAGGAAAGAAGAAAACAGATAACGTTTTGTGAAGCATTTATTACCTTCCATTCTTTTTGAAAAAATAGTGGTGTTTCCATTTCAGTTTCTAAACAATTTGTTCAAAAAAAAAAACGTTACAACACTGTTCTCAACGTAAGTGCTACAGTACTGAAAACACTCACTGGCTGACTGACCTATCATCTCTTTTAATACATTGATAACCTGGAACCGGTTGATGACATCTTGACAAAAAAATAACACCACACTCTAATCTTTGAGTCACGCTTCACTATCTAATAAAAATAATATATGTATGAACACTATCACTAGACAAAAAAATGAGTGCTACCACTCACAGGTCACAAGGTTAAGCACACATTCAAGTGTTAATTCTTTTTTTATTACCCTTTTAAATCGCACTTAAATTTGAACAAGTCAATTTTTCCGCACTCAAAACCCCCAACTTGACTCCACGTCTGTGCACGAATTTATCATTGGTAGTAGGCATGATTTCTGGATTACCCGACATCCGATAAAATAAATAGTTACTAAGTAAGCTATCACAGATGTTACCATGGTAATTAAAAAATTAACATTCACGTCTAAATTGTAACAAAGACGTGGACAATTTTTGAAAATACGCAACCACCTATGAATAAATAATGAAAAAAGGTTATTTCATGAACCCTAAATAAAATACACCTTGACCTCTAAAATCATATGTATAGTGTAAATATGTTATCACATATCGCTACGTAATCAGCTATTTGATACGGCTTAAAACGAGAGAATTAATGTGTACAGTGTCATTCAAACATTGGTGTCGTTTCGGTGTTAACTAAATCCACAATCCCAGAATGTTCTACATCCTCTTAGGAGTACTTCTAGGTGTGGTAATCTACAAGTTAATTCAACTTAGCAAATTCTGGGAAGACAAAAATGTCAACCACGAACCAACGTGGCCCATCGTTGGTAACATGGGTGGAGTACTCCTCCAAAAGCAACACACGATGGACCTAATCATAGACCTGTACCGCAAACACTCCCACCGAAGGTAACTATTTTCAACCACCATACACAATTGTCATATTTATTTACTCCAGATACGTGGGAATAATGCAATTCACCAGACCCGTCTTACTGATCCGCGACGTCGACCTTATCAGACAAATAACCACCACGGACTTTGACCACTTCCACGACCATTACAAACCCCAAAACGACCCACTATTGTCTAAAATCCTAATCAACCTAAGTGGTCACCAGTGGAGACAAATGCGAGCCACTTTAAGCCCGGTCTTCACCACCAGCAGCATGAAGATCATGTACCCGCTCATGACAGAGTGCGCCCATGACTTCGTCGGTCATTTCCGGGGCAAAGAACAAGTAGCCGTCGATATGAAGGACATTTTTTCGCGGTTTTCCGTCGACGTGATCGCGAGTACCGCCTTTGGTACCAAAATCGACTCTTTAGATGAACCCAAGAACGATTTCTTCAAAATGGGCAGTCGGTTGGATCAAGGACTATACAAATACGTGTTGTCTAAGCTACCATTCCTAGCTGAGGTGATCAATTATAATGTAAGAGCGTCAACGATATACAAATTATAGATTGCAGGTGCTCAAGTGTTTCCGAAAGATGTTATCGAGTTTTTCCGGTCGGTTATCAAAGATAATATTGATAAGAGACGGAACGGGGTGGTGCGGCCCGATTTGATCCATTTATTACTAGAGGCGCGAAAAGGACACTTGAAGTCGGACTTCGGTGAAGATAAACTTGAAGGGTTCGCGTCAGTTGAAGAGTCCGAGGTTGGTCGAAATGGTCAACCGAAGGAACTCACCGATGACGATATTGTATCTCAGGCGATGTTGTTTCTGTTCGCTGGGTTTGACACAGCTTCGACTACTTCGTGCTTTTTGGCCCATGAACTTGCGATTCATCCTGATATTCAGGTCAAGCTTCAAGAGGAAGTTGATGGGGTTAATCGACAATGTAACGGAAAAATTCCTTTTGAAACTTTGTTGTCGATGAAATATCTTGACCAAGTGGTTTGTGGTAAGTGGTAGATTGTTAGAAATCACGGTGTGAAGATTTTGTTGTAGAGTGTTTAAGATTGTGGCCACCAGGGTTTGAAATTGATAGAATCTGTACTAAAGACTACACAATCCAGCCTAGAGCGTCACACGAAACCGAAGTTGTCTTAGAAAAAGGTACTTCGATTTTGATACCAGTGGTAGGGATACACCGGGATCCTCGGTACTACCCGAATCCCGAGAAATTCGATCCTGAAAGGTTCAGTGATGACAATAAAGCGAAAATTGTGCCTGGGACCTATATCCCGTTTGGACTAGGACCGCGAAATTGTATCGGTAATGTAACACAATTGGTATTAAGTTAAAATTTAACTATTTGTACTTTCAGGTTCAAGGTTTGCCCTTCTCGAAATAAAAACCCTATTTTTCCACCTCCTATCAAAGTTTGATATTGTACCTGTCAGAGGTACGCAAATTCCAATCAAACTGAGTGCGAAGAAGTTAAAATTGACACCCGAAAGAGGGTTCAGGTTGGGGTTCAAACCCAGGAAGGGTCCATCTTACTAAGGGATCATGGTAGTGTATGGTTCAAACTATATAATACTCGTGTAGTTACTAAAATAAAGTCTGTTTTCTATTTATAATAAGGTACTACTTACGTCAGCTTGGACGTCAAGTAACATAAAATTTTCATTTCATTTACTATTTTCTTCGTTGCAGACCCAACCAAATCCCCCCTTTAGCTTCCAACGACAAAGTCTTGGCCAATTGCAGCGGTATCACAGTTTTCGCCACAGGTACTATTTCAAACTTGGACAACAAATTCGCCATCAGTACTTTAATCTCTAGTAAGGCAAAACGTGACCCTGCAAACCCATTTGTCAAAAAACGTACCACCAAAGTACCCTAAACGTTACCTATACAGTTCCTCGGTCCCATTCCGAACGGCATATACGACCCAGGAATAATCTTCGACTTGTTTTCTTCGCTGAACCGCTCTGGCTGGAACTTTTCCGGGTCATCAAAAAACTCCGGGCTGTAATGCAAAGCGATGACCGGAATGGCCACCAAGCACCCTTTTTCAATAACAGCAAGGTTCTCATTGTCCCCCTTGGGTTCGATCACGTAATCTTTGACGCAAATCCGGTTCATGACATAACCTGGTGGATATTTTCGCAACGTTTCCGACACCACTTGATCCAGGTACTTCATTTTGAGGACGTCTTCGTAGGAGACTTGGTCGTTGGTGGACACCACGACGTCCACTTCTTGTTGGAGTTTCTTCTGGATGTCTGGATTGACAGCGAGCTCGTAGGCCATGAAACTCATGGTGGACGAAGCTGTTGTGAATCCAGCTATGAAGAAGACTAGTGCTTGGGCTGTTATAACCTCGTCTGTGATTTCAATGGCGTAGTTCTGGGTAGTACCGATTTCTGACTCTTGCACTGTGGCAAAACCTGTGTCTAAACCACTAGATTCGGGTTTTTCGTACTTGAGACGACCTTTCCTCGCTTCCATGAGCAGATGGATCATGTCTGGTCGCACAACGCCATCTTTCTCCCGCACGTGAATCGCGTCTTTGACAATGTGTAAAAAGAAATCAGAAATGTGGTTAGGGAGAGCTGGAATTCCGAAAAACTGATCACTGATTAGAAAATTTACTTGTTTTTTCGAATTACCTCAAATATCTTCGGGAAGAACCCGTAAAGAAGGGTCCGAAGCAGCCGCCAAATAGTTGGCGTCGACACGAACCTCCCCATTTTGTAAAACTCGTTGTTCTCATTAAGGAGGGAGTTACATTCAATCCCAAACGCGCAATTCGCTATAACATCGTTAGTGTATTTGGTAAAAATGTCCTTCATTTCTACCACGACGACGTCGTCTTTTTTATCCAGGAAGTGTCGAGTGAAGCTGGTTGCGGTCTGACAAATCAAGCTATACATGGACCGCATTTTGCTGCCTGTGAAAGCGGGACTTAACGCCGACCTCATTTCCCGCCATTTCTTGCCCTTCAAAGAAAATAAGTTGAGACCCAAAATTGGGTCGGTTTTGTCGCTCGTGAAGCCCGAGTGGTCGGTAAAGTGCTCAAAATCCTTGACGGTTATTTTTTTAATTAGTTCTACGTTGCGTACAAAGAGGGATGGTTGGAGAAACTGGTAGCTACCGTAGTATCTGAAAAAAGTGTGAGGTTTGTTTTAAGGTTATTAGTGGGGTTCACCGACCTTCTGTCCGGGTATTCATTGTACAGTGCCCGGATGGACTCCGCGAATGACTCTTTGCTCAAAAAGACTCTTCTGAATCTGGACCATGGTCGGACGTAGTAGATGTTGCGGCGTTGCCAGTAGAAAAATGGTACGATGAATTTAAAGTAGATAACACTGATTAGAGCGAGTACTAGTAACAACACGGCGAACATTTTTGATGGACTGGTTGGAATAACTGCGCGTTTGCTTTCACCTTGATCTGCAGAGTTTGATGAACTCGGGGTTGTGACTTAAGTAATTTTGGGTTGAGTAAGGCACTGGTCTCGATGATTGGTTTGATTTATTTACCATAATTAATACTGATATTGAGGTTTTTGTGTTTTAGAGCATTCAAGTGTGATTGTTTTACGCTAAGAGGGTCAAATGTAAAGTATGCAACCCAAAATACAGCCGCGCGTTTGAGAGCACAGACATCAAAAAAGAAAAAAAAACCTGTTGTAACAAAAATTAAGGAAGTTTTTGTACTTTTAATCTATAACTGTAAATTTTTTATCAAACTTGTGACTAGAACTCGTGATAAAATTAGGATAAAATAATACAGAAATTTCCTAATTATTGGACATGGTGCAGCCATGATTATTATTGTTATTAAATAGTGGAAGATTCACTGAGATGAATAAACTGCAAGTCACAAATTATAGAGTAGTAAACATATCACATGCTTTTGGAGTACATTGTACTCCAAAAGCATGTGATATAGAACTCATTGAGGACATTATGATTTAACGTTAATAGTCGTGATTACATAAAATGAGTCTGTGTACAAATTTTTTTTATATATAAGGAAATACTTCAGAAAATAATAACTTTATAAAAAATGGGTCTAAAGTTATTTTGAAAGAACTTCTCTCGCCTCTGAAATACAGTCCAACAAGTCCTGCTTCTTTTAAAAATTATAAAACTTGATTTTGCGACATTTTATTTTGCGTGGTAAACCTCTATGGAGTAAAAATAACACAGAAAGTACAAGTCACAGTGTAAGAGAAAAAAAGAAGGTTTCACCTTCTTAAAAAAAGACAGTCGAGGCCCCGAGAAGGGTTCACATTCTTTAAAAAAACCAGTTGGGGCCCCCGAAAAGGTTTCATTAAAAAAAAAAGAGAGATGAAGCCCCCTAGAAGGTTCCCCATTCTATTAAAAAAGACAGTTGGGACCCCTGAGAAGGTCTCATCTTAAAAAAAAACAGTTGGGATCTCTGAGAAGGTTTCATCTTCAAATTTAATACACATTAGGCAAAAATGACAGAATTTTGATAAACGATTTACCAGGCTTGATTTCAGAGCATTCGGTTTTCGGTTACAAAGTTACATTGCAAAATATTGTTATATACAATTTAGATTGTTTACGGAAAAGGACGAAAAGGACGGAAACTACGACGAAGGACGAAAAACGACGAAAAGGACGGAAAATCTGTATAAGGACGATAAAGGACGAAAAAGATGAAAAAGGACGAAAAAGGACGAAAAGGACAAATAAGGCCGAACAGTACGAAAAAGGACAAAACAGAACGAAAAGGACGGAAAAGGACGAAAAAAGACGAAAAAGAGCAAAAATTGGAAAAAGGACGACAAAGGACGAACAGTACGTAAAGGGCGAGCAAGGACACAAAGGACGAAAAAGTACGAAATAGGACGAAAAAGGACGAAAAGGAAGAAAAAGAGGAAAATTTAGGAAAAGGCCGAAAAAGTACGAAAAGGATGAAAAAGAACGAAAACGACGACAAGGACGAGAAAGGACGAAAAGGACGAAACATTTGGAAAGGACAAAAAAAGACGAAAAGGACGGACAATTTTTAAAAGGACGTAAAGCACGAAAAATGACGATGAAGGACGAAAAAGGACGAAAAGGACGAAAACGGACGAAAACTACGAAAAGTACGAAAAAGAACAAAAAGGACGAATAATTTGGAAACATACGAAAAAGGACGAATAAGGACGAAAAAGGACGAAATGGACAAAAGGGACGAAAGGGACGAAAAACTAGGAAAAGAACGAAAAAGAGGAAATTTTAGGAAAAGGACGAGAAGGATGAAAAAGGACGAAAACGACGAAAAGGACGAAAACGGACGAAAAAGACGAACGAGAACGAAAAGGACGAAAAAGAGGAAAAATTGGGAAAAGGACAAAAAAGGACAAAAGGACAAAAAGGACGACAAGAACGAAAAGGACGAAAAAAGACGAATAGGACGAAAAATTTGGAAACGGACGAAAAAGGACGAAGAGGACAACAAAGTACGAATAAGGACGGAAAAAGACGAATAAGGACGAAATGGACGAAAGGGACGAAAAACTATGAAAATAACGAAATAGGACGAAAACGACGAAAAAGGACGAAAAAGGACCAATAAGGACGAAAAGGACGAAAAAGACGAAAACTTAGCAAAATGACGAAAAAGGACGAAAACGACTAAAAAAGACGAAAAAGGGCGAAAAGGACAAAAAAGGACGAAAAACAACGAAAAGAACGGAAAGGATGAAAAAACAAAAAGGACGAAGAAGGACGAAAAATTTGGAAAAAGACGAAAAATTAGGAACAGTACGAAAAAGGACGCCAAGGACGAAAAATTAGGGAAAGGACGAAAAAATACGAAAAAGGGCGAAAAGGACGAAACAGGACGAACAACGACAAGGACGAAAAAGGACGACAAAGGACGAAGAGGACGAAAAAGAGGAAAATTTAGGAAAAGGACGAAAAAGGGAGAAAAGGACGACAAAGTAAATAAATAAATAAATAAATAAATAAATAAATAAAGTTTATTGCCCAACAGAACTACACATTCCAGTTACAAGACAATTATAAAGAATATAAAAACAATGACAACAATTCAGAATCAAAGAAAATAACAAATTAATAAATTAAATGCATAAATAATCAAAGATCTCAATATAATGAAAAATAAGAACAGTAACTTAACTTAAATAAAATTAAAATAGAAATAAATGAATGAATGAATAAATTGAAGCCGAAATAAATACCTACATTTATCTGCAATATCAAAAATCAAACACACAATCTGTAAATCTAGGCATATACATCAAGAAGTAAATAACTTAAATTAAAATACAACAGTATGAAAACCATATCTGAAAGTAAAGTGTAAACTACTTAAGCTTAATTCTAACAGTGTCTTTTATAGACTTAAGGCTAGTGTTAAAAATGTCAAAATCGGAATTCATTTCTATTTCTTTTAAAAAATAACTTATTACATATATCGGTGCTTTTCTCCCAAAATTAGTTCTAGCAATGCTAGTGTATAATGTTACAGAATGCCTGCTGCTAGTTCTAGGTACCAGAAAGGATAAAGAATTAGTTAAAAAAAAAAAAAAGGACGAACAAAGACGACAAGGACGAAAAAAAAACGAATATGACGAAAAACTAGGAAAATGACGAAAAAGGACGAAGAAGGGCGAAAAGGACGAAACAGGACGAAAAACAACGGAAAGGACGAAAAGGACGAAAAAAGACGAAAAAGACGAAGAAGGACGAAAAGGACGAAACAGTACGAACAAGACCGAAAGAGGACTAAGAAGGACGAAAAGGACGAAAAAGAGGAAAATTTAGGAAAAGGACGAAAAAGAACGGAAAGAATGAAAAAGGACGAAAACGACGAAAAGGACGAAAAGGACGAATAATTTGGAAAGGGACGAAAAAGGACGACAAGGACGGCAAAGGACGAAAAAAGACGACAAGGACGAAAAAGGACGAAAAGGATGAAAAAGGACGAAAACTATTTACGAAAACCAAAATTGACTTCAACGTCACCCATTTAAAATCTCTAGTTACACTAATTTTAAAAAGAAAGAAACCAAAATGAATTTGGTTCCGAAAAGTAAAAAAATATTTTGAGGAAACTCTATTGAGAATCTGTTACAAACATATTTAGACAACTTAGTTTGATTAAAAATTTGTCATGCATAACTTTAAAACATCTACAACATTTCAAGGTATTCGGTTTTGCAGAATTAAAATTAAATTGAAAAATGTTGGTTTGCAGTTTTGATTTTTTTTCCAAGAATTTGGACATTTCGGGTCAACACTCAACACGGTGTTATAAACTACATGTGTAGAACTATGTTATTTTATACAATTTAACACCCATTTACTATGTAGAATTTTGAAGTCACGTCATCTTATTGATGGGGATGATTAGACAAATTTTGGTTAGGGTTTTACCATCTATATGATATTCTCCCAATAACTTTCACAGCATTCGGTTTTTGCAAATTCAAAGTTAAATTGTAAAATATTATTATATACAACTTTGATTTTTTACAGTGAAAAAAATTTGATAAACGATTTACCAGGATTACGATAATCACCTTAAAACCTTTGCAAGATTTCAGAACATTCGGTAAGGAGGTAAAAATTTACATTTACTTAGTAATTTTATTCCTAAAAAATTAAATTTGGCGGAAAGAACAATGCCCACTGTATTTTATACTATTTTAAACTACGACATAATAGTCAAATTTATTTTGTCCTAGGAAGAAACACGGAAATAAAAATTAAATTTACTAAATTACATTTTAATGCCTTTGCCCCAATTATTTACAACAATTTTTTTAATAAATGGCTTGGTTTCTCTTTCAGTCATTTTTCACAGTAGTACACATAAAAATTTTAACATTGTAACTGCTACTTCCAACATGTTAACACCGATCATTTTCGTTGTTCTCTGTTCTCCAATAAGTGGTAACTTGATCAAATATGAGGTGACATTTTTGGACCCAGAATTAAAAGAAAATTTGTCAGGGAACGTTATAAGCGTTGACAACAACATCTTCAAGGTAACTGTTTTAGAAAATTTGCCAGAACTTCGCAATGGTATGCTAAACATAACAGACCTCCATTATTTGACAGTAAATAACGTCAACTTACAATATATGGAAACAGGAGTGTTTGATAATCAAAATATTAGCCACATTTCGATTGCGGGTAACAAGCTGACTAAAATCCAGTCGAGGATTTTCGACAGTCTTTCAACAGAAACCCTGAATTTAAGTGAGAATCAAATCGATTTCATTGAAGAAGGAGCGTTCAGAAACATGTTGAAACTGTGTCACCTGATATTATCACGCAATAAGCTTACACGAATTAGTTCTAGTTATTTTGACAACACTCCCAACATAATTGTGTTCGACATCAGTTTTAATCAAATAACGAAAATTGAAGAAGGATGTTTTAGCTTTCTGGCAGAAGATTATCTCATTATTACTATCGGAAACAATGCAGTTGAGGAAATTCACCCGAGAGGATTTGAAAACTTGAACATAACAGAGCTTGTTCTCAGCCATAATTTAATTCGGAACGTTCCAGAAGAACTAGTTACTAGAAACAAGATCACGATATTGCAACTGGATTATAATCAGATACGAGATTTTCCAGATACTTTTTATGCGGAGATGAATTCAACTATAGAAGCACTCATGATAAGTTTTAACCCTCTTAAATGTCAAGTGGTGGAAAAAATAATGGAATTTTCGGAAAAAGTCATAGGGCCTTTTTGTTTTTCAGATGAAGATTGTTTTGAGACTTGTCAAGAAAACTAAAAACTTGAAAATGTAATGTGCTTATTATTCACTATATTATAAGTAATTGTTAAAAATAAATACAAGATTATAGAGAAAAATGTAAAAGCTCATTATCATTCTCACTGGAATTTCCCTTCTGAAGTGTGCATGTTACGCTACTGACTGACAGTCCGTTGTCAGATTCTGATGGCTCACCATGTTGAACTTAAAATAATAATCTATCTCTAGTAACCCTTGTTGAAAATAGTTTGATTTGAATTAGTTTGTATTCTCAAAACACAGGACTAAAATTAGTAATTAAACCATAATCGAACAAAATGTTCTGAATATCATAATTCTTATTTTATCATCATTATATACAGGGTGAGTATTATAATAACGGGACCCTGACCAATTTTCAATGCAACAAAACGTACATCTATCAGTTATTGTCAGATTCCAAAAAAAACACATACGTTTTTAGGATCAACGTACGTACTCTCAGGTAAGCAAACTTTTCGAGCCGAATTAAATCTCCGTACAGACAATTTGTATCTTCTGCTGAGATATTTCATCGGATCCGAAACAATTTTGGAGATTTGTTCATTTAAAAAAGAAGAGTTTAGGACTTCCGTCTAACATGACATTTCGGGAGCAACAAATTTCAGGTGGTAATATTATAGTTGATTCCTTTGCTAAATATTTCAGTTCGGTATTTTTATCATCAAATAATAATATAATGGGAAGGATGGTACACTGCCTGCCTCTTTTAATAATTTAAATCGGTAATATTCTTGAAGACAGAGTTTTAGGTAAATTAAAATCTTTGAAGCCCAAATTCACAACCGGTCCTGATTTAATCCCTGAATTTGTTATAAAAGACTACGCGGCCATTTTTAGCAAACCTCTAACATTTCTTTTCAACTTAATTCTTGATAATCGTAAGTTTCCTGACAGATGGAAGGTATTTAAAATTGTTCCTTTATTCAAAAGCGGTAATCGCTCGGGTATTGAAAATTATAGACCGGTCTCTATACTAAATAACTTTGCGAAAGTTTTTGAGATGATTTTGGTTGACGATTTGTCCTATCAACGTAAAAATCTTATTGCGGAGAATCAACATGGCTTTGTTCTAGACCGTTCGACGGTTACTAACTTATTGACCATAACGCAATGTTTAGCTAATAATCTAGACAAGGACGAAAGACGAAAAGGACCAAGGATGAAAAGGACGAAATCCACGAAAAGGACAAAAAAGACGAAAGACGAAAAGGACCAAGGACGAAAAGAACGAAAAGGGACAAAAGGGCGAAAAGGACGAAAAGAACGAAATTGATTAAAAGTACGACAAGGATGAAAAGGACGAAAAAGACGGAAAGGATTAAAAGGACGAGAAGGACGAAAAGGATGAAAAGGACGAAAAGGACGGAAAGGATTAAAAGGACGAGAAGGACGAAAAGGAGTAAAAGGACGAATAGGACGAAAAGGATTAAAAGGACGAAAAGGGCGAAAAAGACGAAAGATGAGGAGGACGAAAATTATTAAATGGACGAAAAGGACGAAGGACAAAAGACGAAAAGGACGAAGGACGAAAAGGACAAAAATGACGAAGGATGAAAAGGATCAAGGACGAAAAGGACTAGGGACGAAAAAGACCAAGGACGAAAAAGACCAAGGATGAAAAAGACCAAGGACGAAAAGTAACAAAGACGAAAAGGACGAAGGACGAAAAGGATGAAAGACGAAAGGACGAAGGAGGAAGCACGAAAAGGACGAAAAGGACAAAGGACGAAAAGGACTAAGGACGAAAAGGACAAAGGACGAAAAGGACCAAGGACGAAGGACAAATGACAAAAAGAACGAAGGGCGAAAACGACAAAAAGGACGAAGGATGAAAATGACCAAGGACGAAAAGGACCAAGGACGAAAGAAACCAAGGACGAAACGGAGCAAAGACGAAAAGGACGAAGGACGAAACGAACGATGAAGGACGAGAAGGACGAGAAGGACGAAGAACGAGAAAGACGAAGGACGAAAAGGACGAAGTACGAAAAGACCAAGGACCAGAAGGACCTAGGATGAAAAGGACAAAAACGACAAAGGACGAAAAGGACCAAGGACGAAGAGGACGAAAGGAACGAAAAGGAACCAAAGTACGAAAAGGACGAAAAGGATTAAAAGAACGAAAATGACGAAAAGGATTAAAAGAACTAAAAGTACGAAAGGTACGAAAAGGATTAAAAGGACGAAAAGGACACAAAGACAAAAATGACGAAGAATGAAAAGGACCAGGGACGAAAAGGCCCAATGACGAAAAGCAGCAAAGACGAAAAGGACGAAAGACGAAAAAGGTGAAAGAGGAAAAAAACGAAGGACGAAACAAACCAAGGAAGAAAAGGACGAAAGACGGGAAGGACGAAGAACAAAAAGGACGAAGCACCAAAAGAGCGAAGAACGGAAAGGATGAAAGACGAAAGGACGAAGGAGGAAGGACGAAACGGACTAAAAGAAGTAAGGACGAAAAGGACGAAAAGGATTAGAAGGACGAAAAGTACGAAAAGGATAAAAAAGAACGAAAGGGAAGAAAACAACGAAATGAATGAAAAGGACGAAAGGGATTAAAAGGACGAAAAGGACGAAATTGACGAAGGACGAGAAGGACGAAAGACGAGAAGGACGAAGGACGAGAAGGACGAAGGACGAGAAGGCCGAAGGCCGAAAAGGACGAACAACGAAAAGGATGAAAGACGAAAGGACGAAGGAGGAAGGACGAAAAGAACGAAAAGGACAAAGGACGAAAAGGACCAAGGACGAAAAGGACTAAGGACGAAGGACGGGAAGGACGAAGGCGAGAAGGATGAAAAATTTTAAAATAATGAAAAAGACGAAGGACGAAAAGGACAAAAAGGACGAAGGATGAAAATGACCAAGGACGAAAAGGACCACGAACGAAAGAAACCAAGGACGAAAAGAAGCAAAGATGAAAAGGACGAAGGACGAAACGAACGAAGGGAGAACGATGAAGGACGAGAAGTACGAAGGACGAGAAAGACGGAGGACAAAAAGGACGAAGAACGAAAAAGCCAAGGACCAAAAGGACCTAGGCTGAAAAGGACAAAAAGAACGAAAGACGAAAAGGACCAAGAACGAAAAGGACGAAGGAGGAAGGACGAAAAGGACAAAGGACGAAAAGGACCAAGGACCAAAAGGACCAAGGACGAAGGACGAGAAGGATGAAAAATTTTAAAATAATGAAAAAGACAAAGGACGAATGACAAAAAAAACGAAGGACGAGAAGGACAGACAGGATGAAGGATGAAAAGGACCGAGGACGAAAAGGACCAAGGACGAAAGAAACCAAGGACGCAAAGGAGCAAACACGAAAAGGACGAAGGACGAAACGAACGAAGGGCGAACGATGAAGGACGAGAAGGACGAAGGACTAGAAAGACAAAGGACGAAAAGAACGAAGAACGAAAAGGCCAAGGACCAAACGGCCCTAGGATGAAAAGGACAAAAAGGACAACAGACGAAAAAGACGAAAGACGAAAAGGACCAAGGACGAAAAGGACAAAGGACGAAAAGGACCAAGGACGAAAAAGACGAAAGCAACGAAAAGAAACAAAAGTACGAAAAGTACGAAAAGGATGAAAAGAACGAAAATGACGAAAAAGATTAAAAGAACGAAAAGAACGAAAGGTACGAAAAGGATTAAAAGGACGAAAAGAACGAAAAGAACGAAAAGGATTAAAAGGACGAAAAGAAGGAAAATACAAAAATGACGAAGAATGAAAAGGACCCGGGACGAAAAGCAGCAAAGACGAAAAGGACGAAAGGCGAAAAGGGTGAAAGAGGAAAAAAACGAAGGACGAAACAAACCAAGGAGGAAAAGGACTAAAGACGAGAAGGGCGAAAGACGAGAAGGACGAATAACGAGAAGGACGAAGGATGAGAAGGACGAAGGCCAAAAAGGACGAAGAACGAAAAGGACAAAGCACCAAAAGAGCGAAGAACGGAAAGGATGAAAAACGAAAGAACGAAGGAGGAAGGACGAAACGGACGAAAAGGACGAAAAGTATGCAAAGTACGAAAAGGATCAAAAAGAACGAAAAGGAAGAAAAGAACGAATAGAATGAAAAGGACGAAAAGAACGAAAAGGACAAAAGGGATTAAAAGGAAGGAAAAGGACGAAAAGGACGATAATTGCGGAAAGGATTAAGAGGACGAAAAGGACAAAAAAGACGAAAAGGACGAAAAGGATTAAAAGAACAAAAAGGACGAAAAGGACGAAAGGGATTAAAAGGACGAAAAGGACGAAATTAACGGAGGACGAGAAGGACGAAAAACGAGAAGGGCGAAGGACGAGAAGGATGAAAAATTTTAAAATAATGAAAAGAACGAAGGACGAATGACAAAAAGGACGAAGGACGAAAAGGACAAAAAGGACGAAGGATGAAAATGACCAAGGACGAAAAGGACCAAGGACGAAAGAGACCAAGGACGAAAAGGAGCAAAGACGAAAAGGACGAAAGAGGAAAAAAACGAAGGACTAAACGAACGAAGGACGAAAAATCAAGGACGAGAAGGACGAAGGACGAGAAAAACGAAGGACGAAAACGACGAAGAACGAAAAGGACGAAGGAGGAAAAGGACGGAGGACGAAAAGGTCGAAGGACGATGGGACGAAGGACGAAAACGACGAAGTACGAAGGACGAGAAGGACGAATGACGAAGGACGAAGGACGAAAAGGACCAAGGACGAAAAGGACCAAGGACGAAAGAGACCAAGGATGAATAGGACCAAGGACGAAAAGGACGAAAAGTACGAAACGGACGGAAAGGATGAAAAGGGTGTAAAGGACGAAAACGATTAACAGGACGAAAAGGATGAAAAGGATTAAAAGGACGAAAAGGACGAAAAGGGCGAAAAGGACGGAAAGAACGGAAAGGACGAAGGACGAAATGGACGAAAAGAAATCCAATCGAAAATTTTCAGTCTTCCAACAGAAACCCTCGATTTAAGAGACAATAAAATCGACTTCATTGAAGAAGGTGCGTTTAGAAACATGTTGAGACTGCGTGATCTGATCCTAAGTCGGAATAAGCTCATACAAATTAGTTTTGGTTATTTTGACAACACTCCCAACATACTTATGTTCGACATCAGTTTTAATCAAATAACAAAAATTGGAGAAGGATATTTTAATTTTCTGACCGATGATTATCTCGTCCTTAATTTCGAAAACAACGCAGTTGAGGAAATTCACCCGAGAGCATTTGAAAACTTCAACATAACAGAGCTTACTCTCAGCCATAATTTAATTCGGAACGTTCCAGAAGAACTAGTTACCAGAAACAAGATCACGATATTACAACTGGATTATAATCAGATCCGAGATTTTCCAGATACTTTTTATGCCGAGATGAATTCAACTATAGAAATATTAATAAGTTTTAACCCTCTGAAATGTGAAGTGGTGGAAAAAATAATGCAAAATCATCGGGTCCTTTTGTTTTTCATGTGAAGATTGTTTTGATCCTTGTCAAAAAAACTAAAAACTTGAAAAAGTAATGTGTTTATTGTTCATTATATTTAAGTAAATGTAAAACATAAATACAAGATTACAGAGAAAAATGTAAAAGCTCATTATCACTCTCACTGGAATTTCCCACAAATTCTTGCAAGGTGAATACAAAGCTGAATTAAATCAAGTAAAATTTGAAAAAAAAAAAATCTTTTGTTTTTGATGAAGAATCTAACCACCATCTAAGGTTGTTTCTAGAATGTAGATCGTATGGAAACTAAAGAGAGCTATTAGAACGTTTTGGTCTAAATTAATACAGACTTTGAAAGGAAGACGATATAAATGTTTTCGGTCTCGGAACTAAAAATTAAACGTTTCACACCAAATACATAAATTACATTTTAATGTTTGTGTCTCTATGTTATGTAGGTACAGGAAGAAATAAATCACCTATTTTTTGCTTTTTTAGTTTTGCAAATGACATGATTTCTTTTTTTACCATTCTTTTATATTGGTGCACATACAGTTCGAACATTGTAACTAATATCTCCAGAATGTTTACATCGGTCATTTTAGTCGTGCTCTGTTCTCTAGTTAATGGTCACGATTCTAATAACTTGATCACATATAAATTAATGTTTTCAGATTTCTATCCAACACAAAAACTGTCAGGAAATGTTATAAACGTTGACAACAACAACATCTCTGCAGTCAGTGTTTTAGAAAATTTGCCCGAACTCCGCAAAGACATGTTAAATATAACTTACCTCCATTTTCTCTGCATAAGTAACGTTAATTTACAATACATGGAGGAAGGAGTTTTTGATAACCAAAATATTACCGTAATTTCACTTGTGGGTAACAAACTGGCTGAAATCCAACCAAGAATATTCGACAATCTTCCAATAATTTGTTTGGATTTAAGTGGAAACGTAATTAACTTCATCGAGAAGGGAGCATTTAGAAACATGTTACGACTGCGCCAGCTAATATTATCCCGAAATAAGCTTACCCAAATTAGTTCTAGTTATTTTGACAATACTCCCCACATACAATATTTCGACGTCAGTTCTAATGGGATAACCAAAATTGAAGAAGGAAGTTTTAGTTTTTTAAGCGACGAGGATCTATTAATTATAATTGACGACAACGCAGTTGAGGAAATTCATCCTAGAGGATTCGAAAACTTGAACATAATGCAGCTGTCTCTTTGCAAAAATTCAATTCGGGACGTACCAGTTGAATTATTTACGAATAACAAAATTGGGATGTTGCAGCTGGATTCTAATCAAGTAGAAGAGTTTCCGGATATTTTTTGTGAAGAGATTAATTCAACTGTGAAGACGGTGACGATGTATGATAATCCTCTTCAATGTGAAACTGTAGAAAATTTGATCGACTCTGCGGGAAAATCAGGCGCATTTTGTTTCTTAGACGAAGATAGAGTTGCTAAGTGCCGTCAAAATTAAACACATAAAACTGTGATGTGTTTGTTTATTATAATATGTGTAAAAAATAAATACTGGGTTAAAAAGGAAAACATAATATCTTATTATGACACCTTAAAAAAGTTCAATCAGAAAAAAATAAAAATTTTGCACCTGATTATAAAACAAAATAGGAACAGAATTACGTAAATTAAGAAAGGCTTTCTACTAGAAAGAAATTAATGTCGACGGCATTGCAAAGAGGCATCCGTCATCGTTTCTCTGTCATGAAGAACTTTTCTACCTGCGATGGGTACCTGTACCTGTTTAAATTAGTACCTAATAGATTTATCCGCATTTGTGCTAGCGTCTTGACCAGTTCACTTAAGTTTATGTTTCCGCGTGTTATTATTTGCGATTTAAAAAAATAAATTTAAAAACCACCCCCTGCTGAAGTGTGCATATGTTACGCTACTGACTGACAGTCCGTTGTCAGATTCTGATGACTCACCATCTTGAACTTAAAATAATAATCCATCTCCAATAACTCTTGTCCTTCAACACTAGGTAATAGCAATCTGACGCTCAAGGTTTATTTATGTTTATACTTTCATCGAAAGAATGGCAAGTAGAAAATAGTTTGATTTGAATGAGTTTGTCTTCTCAAAACACAGGACGAAAAAGATTAAAACGACGAAAAGGACGAAAAGGATGAAAAGGACGAAAAGGACGAAAAGGACAAAAAGGACGAAAAGAACGAAAGGGACGAAAGGAACGAAAAGGACTAAAAGGACGAAGAGGACGAAAAGGATTAAAAGCACGAAAAGGACGAAAAGAACGAAAGAGACGAAAAGGAAGAAAAGGACCAAAAGATGAAAAGATCGAAAAGGACGAAAATGATAAAAAGAACGAAAAAAACCAAAAGGACGAAAAGGACCAAGGACGAAAAAAACCAAGAGGACGAAAAGGACCAAGAACGAAATGGACCAAGGACGAAAAGGACCAAGCATGAAAAGGACCAAGGACGAAACGGACCAAGGACGAAAAGGACCAAGGACGAAAACGACAAAGGACGAAAACGACCAAGGACCAAAAGGACCAAGGACGAACATGACTAAGGATGATAAGGACAAAAAGGACGAGACCTTTGAACCAAGGACGAAAAGGGCGAAGGATGAAACGGAAAAAATGAAAAGGACGAAGGACTTAAAGGACGAAAGACGAAATGGACGACAGACGAAAAAGATGAAACGGACGAAGGGAACGAAAAGGACGAAGAGGACGAAAAGGATTAAAAGGACGAAAAGGATTAAAAGGACGAAAAGGACGAAAGGGACGAAAAGGCAGAAAAGGACCAAAAGGATGAAAAGGTCGAAAAGGACGAAAATGATAGCAAGGACGAAAAAAACGAAAAAAACGAGGTGCGAAAAGAACCAAGGACGAAAAGGACCAAGGATGAAAAGGACCAAGGACGAAAAAGGCCAAGAACGAAAAGGACCAAGGACGAAAAGGACCAAGGACGAAAAGGACCAAGAACGAAAAGGATCAAGGACGAAAAGGACCAAGGACGAAAAGAACGAAGAGGACGAAATACGAAAAACGAAAAGGACTAAGGACGAAATACGAAGGACAAAAAGGACGAAGAGGACGAAATACGAAGGACGAAAAGAACGAAGGACGAAATACAAAGGACGAAAAGGACGAAGGACGAAAAGAACATAGAACGAAAAGGACGAAGGTCGAAAAGGACGAAGTACGAAGGGTGAAAAGGACGAAGGACGAAAAGGACGAAAGATGAAAAGGACAAAGGACCAAGAGCAAAAAGGACGAAGGACGAAAAGGACGAAGGACGAAGGGTGAAAAGGACGAAGGACTAAGAGCGACAAGGACGAATGACGAAAAGGACGAAAGATGAAAAGTACGAAGGACGAATAGTACAAGAGGGACGAAGGACAAAAAGGACAAAGTACAAAAAGGACAAAAAGGACTAAGAATGAAAATAACCAAAGACGAAAACGACCAAGGACGAAAAAGGCCAAGAGCGAAAAGACGCAAAAACGAAAAGGACGAAGGACGAAAAGGCTGCAGGACGAAAAGGACGAAAGACGAGGAGGACGAAGGACGAAAAGGACGAAGGACGAAAAGGACGAAGAGGACGAAATGCGAAGGACGAAAAGGACGAAGGACCAAATACGAAGGACGAAAAGGACGAAGGACGAAAAAAGGGAAGAACGAAAAGAACGAAGGTCGAAAAGGACGAAGGACGAAAAGGACGAAAGATGAAAAGGACAAAGGACCAAGGGCGAAAAGGACGAAGGACGAAAAGAACCAAGGGTGAAAAAGAGCAAAACCGAAAAGGACGAAGGACGAAAAGGACGAAGAACGAGAAGGACGAAGGACGAAAAGGACGAAGGACGAAAATGACGAAAGAGGAAATAAACGAAGGACGAAACGAACGAAGGACGAAAAGGACGAAAGACGAGAAAGACGAAGGACGCGAAGGACGAAGGACGAAAAGGACGAAGGACGAGAAAGACGAAGGAGGAGAAGGACGAAGGACGAGAAGGACGAAGGGCGAAGGACGAAACGGACGGGGGACCAGAAAATCTTAGAACGAAGGAACGAAGGACGAAAGACGAAAGACGAGAAGGACGAAAAGACCATGGACGAAAAGGACCAAGGACGAAAAGGACCAAGGACGAAAAGGACAAAGGACGAGCAAGACAAAGGACGAAAAGGACGAAGGAAAAAAAGGATGAAAAGGACTTTAAGGTCGGAAAGGGTGAAAAGCACGAAAATGACGTAAAGGACGAAATGAACGAAAAGGACAAAGAGGGCAAAGACGAAAAAGACGAAGGACGATAAGGACGAAAATAAATCCAATCGAAAATATTCAAGTCTTTCAACAAAAACCCTGGATTTAAGAGACAATGAAATCAATTTCATTGAAGAAGGAGCGTTTAGAAACATGTTGAGACTGCGTGATCTGATACTAACTCGGATTGAGCTCGTACAAATTAGTTCTGGTTATTTAACACTCCCAACTTAATTAGGTTCGACATCAATATTAATCAAATAATAAAAATTAGAGAAGGATATTTTAGCTTTCTGACCGATGATTTTCTCATCCTTAATTTCGAAAACATTGCAGTTAAGGAAATTCACCAGAGAGCATTTGAAAATTTGAAGATTAAACAGCTTGTTCTTAGCCATAATTTCATTCGAGAAGTTTCAGAAGAACTAGTTACCAGAAACAAGATCACGATGTTACAACTGGATTAAGTAATAATCAGATTTTCCAGATACTTTTTATGCGGAGATGAATTCAACTATAGAAGCAGTCATGATAAGTTTTGACCCTCTTAAATGTGAAGTGGTGGAAAAAATAATGCAAAATCATCGGGTCCTTTTGTTTTTCAGGTGAAGATTGTTTTGATACTTGTCAAAAAACTAAAAACTTGAAAATGTAATGTGTTTATTATTCACTATATTTAAGTAAATGTAAAACATAAATACAAGATTATAGAGCAAAATGTAAAAGCTCATTATCACTCTCAATGGAATTTCCTACAAATTATTGCAAGGTGAATACAAGGCTGAATTAAAACAAGTAAAATTTGAAAAAAAAATCTTTTGTTTTTTATGATGACAGAAATCTAACCACCATCTAAGGTTCTTCCTAGAATGTAGATCGGGTGGAAACTAAAAAGAGCTATTAGAACGTTTTGGTCTAAATTAATACAGACGATATAAATGTTTTCGGTCTCGGAACTAAAAATTAAACGTTTCACACCGAATACATAAATTACATTTTAATGTTTGTGTCTCCATGTTTTGTAGGTACAGGAAGAAATAAATCACCTATTTTTTGCTTTTTTTTTATTTTTCCAACTGACATGATTTCTTTTTTTACCATTCTTTTATATTGCTGCACATACAGTTCGAACATTGTAACTACTATCTCCAGAATGTTTACATCGGTCATTTTAGTCGTGCTCTGTTCTCTAGTTAATGGTCACGATTCTAATAACTTGATTACATATAAATTAATGTTTTCAGATTTCTATCCAACACAAAAACTGTCAGGAAATGTTATAAACGTTGACAACAACAACATCTCTGCAGTCAGTGTTTTAGAAAATTTGCCCGAACTCCGCAAAGGCATGTTAAATATAACTTACCTCCATTTTCTTTGCATAAGTAACGTTAATTTACAATACATGGAGGAAGGAGTTTTTGATAACCAAAATATTACCGTAATTTCACTTGTGGGTAACAAACTGGCTGAAATCCAACCAAGAATATTCGACAATCTTCCAATAATTTGTTTGGATTTAAGTGGAAACGTAATTAACTTCATCGAGAAGGGAGCATTTAGAAACATGTTACGACTGCGCCAGCTAATATTATCCCGAAATAAGCTTACCCAAATTAGTTCTAGTTATTTTAACAATACTCCCCACATACAATATTTCGACGTCAGTTCCAATGGGATAACCAAAATTGAAGAAGGAAGTTTTAGTTTTTTAAGCGACGAGGATCTATTAATTATAATTGACGACAACGCAGTTGAGGAAATTCATCCTAGAGGATTCGAAAACTTGAACATACTGCAGCTGTCTCTTCGCAAAAATTCAATTCGGGACGTACCAGTCGAATTATTTACGAATAACAAAATTGGGATATTAGAGCTGGATTCTAATCAAGTAGAAGAGTTTCCGAATATTTTTTGTGAAGAGATTAATTCAACTGTGAAGACGGTGAGGATGTATGATAATCCTCTTAAATGTGAAACTATGGAAAAATTGATCGACTCTGCGGGAAAATCAGGCGCTTTTTGTTTCTTAGAAGAAGATAAAGTTGCTAAGTGCCGTCAAAATTAAACACATAAAACTGTGATATGTGTTTGTCTATTATAATGTGTGTAAAAATAAATACTGGGTTAAAAAGGAAAACATGATATCTTATTATGACACCTTAAAAAAGTTAAATCAGAAAAAAATAAAAATGTACACCTAAATATAGGAAAAGAATTTCTCTGTCCTAGAGAACTTTTCTACCTGGGATGGGTACCTGTACCTGTTTAGATTAGTGCCTAATAGATTTATCCGCATTCGTGCTAGCGTGTTGACCAGTTCACTTAAGTTTATGTTTCCGCGTGTATTTGTTTGCTATTTAAAAAATTAATTTAAAAACCACCCCCTTCTGAAGTGTGCATGTTACGCTACTGACTAACAGTCTGTTGTCAGATTCTGATGACTCACCATGTGGAACTTAAAATAATAATCCATCTCCAACAAACCTTGTCCTTCAACACTAGGTAATAGCAATCTGACGCCCAAGGTTTATTTATGTTTATAGTTTCATCGAAAGAATGTCAAGTAGAAAATAGTTTGATTTGAATGAGTTTGTCTTCTCAAAACACAGGACGAAAAATATTAAAACTACGAAAAGGACGAAAAAATGAAAAGTACGCAAAGGACGAAAAGGACGAAAAGGACGAAGGAGGAAAAGGACAAAGGACGAAAGGGACGAAGGACTTAAAGGACGAAGGACGAAGTGGACGAAATACGAAAAAATGAAACGGACAAAAGGAACGTAAAGGACGAAAAGGACGAAGTGGACGAAAAGGATTAAAATGACGAAAAGGACGAAAGGGACGAAAAGGACGAAAACAGACTAAAAGGATGAGAAGGTCGAAAAGGACGAAAGTGATAAAAAGGACGGAAAAAACGAAAAGGATGAAAAAAATGAAGTACGAAAAGGACCACGAACATGACTAAGGATGAAAAGGACAAAAAAGACAAAGGACGAAAAGAACGAAGGACGAAAAGGACGAAGAGGACGAAATGTACGAAAAAGACGAAAAGGATTAAAAGCACGAAAAGGACAAAAAGGAGGAAAAGGACGAAGGACGAAAAGGACGAAGGAGGAAAACGACGAAGGACCGAAAAGTACGAAGGACGAAAAGTACGAAGGACGAAAAGGACGAAGGAGGAAAACGACGAAGGACGAAAAGTACGAAGGACGAAAAGTACGAAGGAGGAAAAGGACGAAGGAGGAAAACGACGAAGGACGAAAAGTACGAAGGACCAAAAGTACGAAGGACGAAAAGGACGAAGGACGAAAAGGACGAAGGAGGAAAACGACGAAGGACGAAAAGTACGAAGGACGAAAAGTACGAAGGACGAAAAGGACGAAGAACGAAAAGGACGAAGGACGAAAAGCACGAAGTACGAAAAGGACGAAGGACAATAAGGACGAAGGACGAAAAGGACAAAAAGGACGAAGGACGAAAAGGACGAAGGACGAAGGACGAAAAGGACGAAGGACGAAAAGGACGAAGGACGAAAAGGACGAAGGACGAAAAGGACGAAGGACGAAAAGGACGAAGGACGAAAAGGACGAAGGACGAAAAGGACGAAGAACGAAAAGGACGAAGGACGAAAAGGACGAAGGACGAAAAGGACAAAAACAACGGAGAATAAAAATGACCAAGGACGGAAAGGACCAAGGACGGAAAGGACCAAGGACGAAAAAGAGCAAGGACGAAAAGGAGCAAAGACGAAAAAGACCAAGGACGAAAAGGACGTAAGAGGAAATAAACGAAGGAGGAAACGAACGAAGAACGAAAAGGATGAAACACGAGAAAGACGAAGGATGCGAAGGACGAAGGGCGAGAAGGACGAAGGACGAGAAGGACAAAGGACGGGGACGAAGGACGAGAAGGACGAAGGATGAGAAGGACGAAGAACGAAAACGACGAAGGACCAAAAGGGTGAAGGACGAAAAGTACGAAGGACGAAAAGTACAAAGGACAAAAAGGACGAAGGACGACAAGAATTAAAAGGACGTAGGACGAGAAGGGCGAAGGACGAAAAGGACGAAGGACGAAAAGGACAAGAGGGACGAAGTACAAAAAGGACGAAGGACGAAAAGGACGAAGAATGAAATTGACCAAAGACGAAGAGGACCAAGAACGACAAAAACCAAGGATGAAAAGAAGCAAAGACGAAAAGGATCAAGAACGAAAAGGACGCAGGACGAAAAGGACGAAGGACGAAAAGGACGAAGGACGAAAAGGACGAAGGACGAAAAGGACGAAGGATGAAAAGGACGAAGGACGAGAAGGACAAAAAGGACGTAGAATAAAAATGACCAAGGACGAAAAGGACCAAGGACGAAAAGGACCAAGGACGAAAAGGACCAAGGACGAAAAGGACCAAGGACGAAAAGGACCAAGGACGAAAAGGACCAAGGACGAAAAGGACCAAGGACGAAAAGGACCAAGGACGAAAAGGACCAAGGACGAAAAGGACGAAAGAGGAAATAAACGAAGGACGAAACGAACGAAGGACGAAAAGGACGAAACACGAGAAAGATGAAGGACGCGAAGGACAAAGGGCGGGAAGGACGAAGGACGAAGGACGAGAAGGACGAAGGACGAAAAGGACGAAGAACGAGAAGGACGAAGGACCAAAAGGGCGAAGGACGAAAAGGACGAAGGACCAAAACTGCGAAAGACGAAAAGTACGACGGACGAAAAGGACGAAGGACGACAAGACTTAGAAGGATGTAGGTCGAGAAGGGCGAAGGACGAAATGGAGGGAGGACGAAAAGGACGAAGAACGAAAAGTATGAAAGACGAAAAGGACGAAAGACGAAAAGGACGAAGGACGAAAAGGACAAGAGGAACGAAGGACAAAAACGACGAAGGACGAAGAGGACAAAAAGGACGAAAAACGAAAATGACCAAGGACGAAAGAGAAAATAAACGAAGGACGAAAAGAACGAAGGACGAAAAGGACGAAAGACGAGAAAGACCAAGGATGCAAAGAACGAAGGACGAGGAGGACGAAGGACGAGAAGGACGAAAGACGAGGAGGCCGAAGGACGAAAAGGACGAAGAACGAAAAATACGAAGGACCAAAAGTACGAAGGACAAAAAGTACGAAGGATGAAAAGGACGAAGGACGACAAGAATTAAATGGTCATACGACGAGAGGGACGAAGGGTGAACAGGACGGAGGACGAAAAGGTCGAAGGACGAAGGGACGAAGGGCGAAAGACGAAAAGGACGAAAGACAAAGGACAAAAAGAACGAAAAGAACCAGGTACGAAAAGGACCAAGGACGAAAACGACAAAGGACGAAAATGATGAAAAGGAGGTAAAGGACGAAAAGGGCGAAAGGGACGAAAAGAACGAAAAGGACGAAAAGGACGAAGGACTTAAAGGACGAAGGACGAAATGGACGTAGACGAAAAGGACGAAATGGACGAAAAGGATTAAAATGACGAAAAGGACGAAAGGGACGAAAAGAACGAAAAGGACGAAAACAGACTAAAAGGATGACAAGGTCGAAAAGGACGAAAATGATAAAAAACGAAGAAAAAAACGAAAAGGACGAAGTACGAAACGGACAAAGGACGAACCTCATTTTTACCCAAACTTCGAAGAAACTGTTAAAACAACGACTGCTGAATGGAGAAATACCAAATATAAATTTAGGTCTGTTTTAACTCATTAATAATAATTTAATATCCTTTTTAATACTAATGTCAGGTTAGATAATAATGTCAGGTCAGATTAATATCAGTTTTTGCTGTATCTGTACCTTTTGTACCAATGTTTTTAATTTATTTATTTAAAATTGGTTCAATAAAAATTATTATTATATTATTAATATTATTAACATGACTAAGAATGAAAAGGAGAAAAAGGATGAGACCTTTGAATCAAAGACGAAAAAGACGAAAAAGACGAAGGACGACAAAGACAAAGGACGGAAAGGACGAAGCACGAAAAGGACGAAGAAGACGAAAAGGATTAAAAGGACGAATACGACGAAAATGAGGATAAGGACGAAAAGGACTAAGGACGAAAAGGACGAAAGAGGAAACAAACGAAGGACGAGACGAACGAAAGACGAAAAGGACGAAAGACGAGAAAGACGAAGGAGGCGAAGGACGAAGGACGAGAAGGACGAAGGACGAGAAGGACGAAGGACGAGAAGGACGAAGGACGAAAAGGACGAATAACGAAAAGAACGAAGGACCAAAAGTGCAAAGGAAAGTATTTTTATTAAATTTCATTTCACTCTTAAACCAATTTATTTCGGTGATTATGATACCGATATTGTGAAAAAAGCGACAGAAGTGTCAGATAATTTCCGTACATGTTTTATTGTCAGTTAAACTGTGAAAACTAAAATTAAATGTGCCATGCTGAATGCACAGATTGAATTTTAATACTCATTTTCCTCCCAATTGTACACAAAAACTTTGTTATTCTTTTGTACTTGAATGCATTAATTTTGGATTATATGATAATTGCCAATTCAAAAATATTTACGTCATTCATTGCGCAGTTTGCTCCGTCTTTATCAACGGTCACTCTTCTAATAATTTGATCAAATACCAGTTATATTTGATTCATTGTCAAACTCAATAAAAAAGTTATCAGAAAACGTTGTCAATAATGGCTACTTTAAAGTCACTGTCTTCGAAACATATACTTTTCAGCACTTTATTAGTCTGTTTTCAAATAATCGAAGCCAACTCCCAGATTAAGTATCAGCTGGAATTAGCTACCTCTGGATACGTCTACGAAGCAAACATCCTCAACAAAGAAGTAATAACTAGCGTAGAGAAGGCTTTTACCGTCCGAGTTCTCAGTGATGTACCTGTCCTACTTAAAGGTATGCTAGAAATTACTCCCGAAACTTACTACTTTTGCTTACAACGGCACAATCTAGAAAAAATAGAAGTCGGCGCTTTTGATAATCAAAATATAACTCGACAGATTCTTCTTGACGGCAACAAACTAACTGTCGTCGCCTCCGGTACTTTCAAAAATTTGAAAATTAAAAAACTGAATTTGGCGGACAACCAAATTACACATGTTGAAGAAAACGCCATCACCAATTTGCCAAACCTGGTCGAAGTCCATCTCTCTCAAAATAAAATTGTTAAATTCCATGATAATTCTTTCGTGAAAACTCCAAATATGGCGGTTCTTAACATGTTTCAAAATGAATTGGGTGAATTAGGTGAAAGGTGGTTCAGTTTTATGACCAAAGAAAAACCGGTGACTAGGAGGTTTGGGGACAACAATATTGGAAAAATACATCCTAAAGCCTTTGATGGAATAAGCGTTTCGTATATGGAATTAAGTGGTAATAAACTGAGTCAAGTTCCAGGAGAAATTTTTACAAAGTGTGTTCTATTTGACGCTGAACAACAACACATTAGAAGATCTACCGGATTCTTTTTTCCAGCAGAAAAATTTGAAAAGCCTGGATATTAGCTATAATCTTCTCAAATGTGGTACTGTGCAAAAATTGAAGAAGCTTGCTGAGGAAAATAGGGCTTTTATGAAATATAACAACCAGAATTGTTAGGTGTTTAAGATGTGGATTCAATAAAGTGTGTCAAAAATTTGTTCGCTTCTTTGATTAACTTTTTTCTTAGGAGTACAAAATTGACTTCAACGTCACCCATTTAAAATTTCTGGTTACACCAAGGTGGTTAACATTACGTCGCCTGAGAACTTTCAATTTTTCGTTTTTAACTTTAGATTTTTAAATTTTTCGACTTTTCGATATTTCAATTTTTCAACTTTTAAAATTCTGGAATTTTCGTTTTCTCGAGCAATTGAAAGCTCTTATTTTATACTTAGATATTTCAATTTTTCAGTTCTTCGGGTTTTAACTTTTCGATTTTTCGATTTTGACCTATTTCGGTTTCTCAATTTTTCGACTTCTCGACTTTTTGGCTCCTTTAGTTTTCGATCCATTGATTTTTCAATTTCACGATGTCGTTTTTGAATTTTTCGAAGTTTCAGATTCTCGATTTTTTAGTTTTCCCATTTCTATGTGTATTTTTTTGATATTTGGATTTCTAGATTTTTCAATTTTTCCATATTTTAATTTTTCAATGTTTTAAATATTAGATTTTTCAATTTTTCAGTTCTTCAGTATTTCTATTTTTCAATGTTTCGATTTTTCGATTTCGCGGTTTTACGATTTTTTTATGTTTCAGTTTTTGCCAACTTGGTTTTTCAATTTTTAAAATATGTCAACTTTTCAATTTTTAGTTTTATGGTTTTTTCAATTTTTCAATTTTAAACATTCTGGATTTGCGATTTCTCGAGTTTTCAGTTCTTCTATATTTCATTTTTTAATTTTCCGAATTCTTAAATTTACGATTTTCCAGTTTTGATTTATCAATTTTTCAATTTTTAACTTTTCGAGTTTTTGATTTTCTCCTATTTCGGTTTCTCAGTTTTTCGCTTTTTTGACTTCTCAACTTTTCGACTCCTCGATTTCCCGATCCTCTTATTCTTCAGTTTCCGATGTTTCTATTTCTCGGTTTTTCGATCTTTCATTTTTCGGCTTTTCGATTTTTCGATTTTTCAGTTATCTGAGTTTTTAATTTTTCAGTTTTTTAAATTTTGGGGCTTCGATTTCTCCATTTTTCAACTTTAGATTTCTCAGTTTGTCAGTATTTCAGTTTTGGGCTTTCTCCATTTTTTCATTCCTTAAATTTTCGATTTCTTGATTTTTTTATTTTTCGATTTCTCAATTTGCCGATGTTTCAGTTTTACGATTTCGCAGTTTTTCTCCTCGTCAATTTTACTATTTTTAAATATTTTGGTTTTTCAATTTTTCACAATTTTGATTTTTTTAAATTTTTAGTTATTCAATTGTTCGATTTTTCGATTTTTTAAGCTTTCGATTTTTCTTAATTGCTTTTTTGCTTTTTCGATTGCTAAATTTTTCACTTTCATAATTTCTCAATTTTTGGTTTTCTCTCAACTCTGGGATGTTTGAATTTTTTGATTCTTCAATTTTTCAGTATTTTGATTCTTGAATTTTTCAGTTTTTCGACTGTCGTATTTTTAATTTCTCAACTTTTCAGTTCTTCATTATTTCAATTTTTCAATTTTCCGAATTTTCCAATTTTCTATTTTCCAATTTTTCTTTTTTAAAATATTTCGATTTTTCAATTTTTTAATTTCTCAATTTTTGGATATTTCTTCGAGTTCAGGGATTTTTCAATTTTTTGATTCTGCTATTTTTCTTATCTTTTGGAATTTTTCTATATTTCAGTTTTGAGATATTTCGGTATTTTGATTCTTCGACTTTTCGATTTCTTTACTTCTGGATTTTTTCATTCCTTAATTTTGTTTATTTCGCATTTTTAGTTTTTCGTTTTTAACTTTAGATTTTTAAATTTTTCAACTTTTCGATATTTTAATTTTTCAAATTTTAAAATTCTGAATTTTTGTTTTTCCGAGCAATTAAAAGTTCTTGTTTTATACTTAGATATTTCAATTTTTCAATTTTTCGGTTTTTAATTTTTCGATTTGTCGATTTTGGCCTATTTCGGATTCTCAATTTTTCGACTTCTCGACTTTTTGACTCCTTTAGTTCTCGATCCATTGATTTTTCAATTTCACGATGTCACAGTTTTTGAATTTTTCGATGTTTCAGTTTCCCGATTTTTTAGTTTTTCCATTTCTAAATTTTAGGTATCCGAATGTGTATTTTTTGATATTTGAATTTCTAGATTTTTCAATTTTTCGATACATATTTTAATTTTTCAATGTTTTAAATGTTGGATTTTTCAATTTTTCAGTTCTTCAGTATTTCAATTTTTCAATTTTTCGATTTTTCAATTTTTCTAGTTTAAAGTTTTGATTTATCAATTTTTCAATTTTTAACTTTCCAAGTTTTTGATTTTCTCCTATTTCGGTTTCTCAGTTTTTCTCTTTTTTGACTTCTCAACTTTTCGCCTCCTCGATTTCTCGATCCTCTTATTCTTCAATTTCCGATGTTTCCATTTCTCGGTTGGGGCTTCGATTTCTCGATTTTTCAATTTTTCGATATTTTAATTTTTCAATGTTTTAAATTTCAGATTTTTTGTTTTCTCAATTTTTCGATTTTTCAGTTCTTCTCTATATTTTTTTTTCAATTCTTCGATTTTTCAAGTTTTCGATTCCTCAGTTTTGGAAACTTTTCAGTTTTTTTTTAATTTTTCGATTTTTGAAATTTTTTATTCTTAGATAATTCAACCTTTCTATTTTTGTAAAAATTAATACAAACTGGACCACAATACATACAGAGAGATCGAAAAAGAAATTGGTCAAAGTTGGCCATGCACGAAAAGCCGTTTGTCTTAGTTTAAAATAATTGTACGTTGACAAAAGTAATAATAAAATAGAATTTAACTTCAGAAATGGGACAAAATGGGAAAAAATTGGAAAGTGGTGAGTTTGATACATTTTCGTGTGTTTTAAAAGTAGGTTTAAACTGTCAATTTGACATTTAATAAAAAAATTTAAATTACGACAAACAGCTTGTCCTGTATGGCCAACTTTGATTAATTTCTTTTTCGATCTCGCGGTATTTCTAAAACATTAAAATAACTACACTTTCCCGAAAAAAAATCTATTGCATGATTACTGTTCCACCAGTATTGCTAATTTTGGACGTTTTGCTACTATCAAATACTACTAAACACTTTCGTCATTGCACATGCTACATAATTGATAAAAATACGATGTAATATATACTTAAATTTATATAAAAAAATTTATATGTATATCGGAATTTGAGGAAAAAATCGAGCATTTTATTTTAGAGGAAGAATATTTTGATAGGTGCAATGAAAACTAAAAATTCGAATCTGTAATGTGTTTATTAATTACAATATTATAGGTAAATATGTTAAATATAAATACAAGATTACAAAATTAATATTTGTATTCAAGTGACAAATCAAATATATAGATTTTTACAGAAATCATGTTACGTCTATCATCCATGTTTATAAAACTAGTATCACTATCACTACATTGATGTCACGTGTTTAACCATGAATCTGTGTGGTGGAACGTGGATTTCCCTGAATACAAGTGTTATTTATTAGACTCTCACGTAAACCAAAAAATTTCCAACCGTCAGTACTTCTTTGGTTTTTCATCACTTAAGTAGTTCTAAAATAATGGCTAGTTTGTATGAAGTTCTTACCGCCACTTTATTAGTGTATTTTCAAACAATTGTTACCAACGCCGAAATTAAGTATGAACTGGATTTCTACACCAAACAAACAATCATCCACAGCAAAGAACTGATAACCAGCACAGAAAGGACTCCTTCCATCAAGGTTCTCAGTGACGTGACTGTTCTACGTAAAGGTATGCTCGAAATTTCTGCAGAAACCTACGAGTTTTGGATTGAGAATCGAAATCTGGAAAAAATAGAAGTCGGTGCTTTCGATAATCAAAACATAACTTATTTAATTAGTCTCGAAAGCAACAAACTGACTGTCATCGCGTCTGGTACTTTTAAAAATCTGAAAATTAGAACACTGGATTTGTCGTTAAACAAGATTACCCGCGTTGAAGAAAATGCCATCACCGACATGCCAAACTTGAAGGAGGTGTTTCTGTCCTACAACAAAATTGTTAAATTCAATGAGAACTCTTTCGTGAATACTCCAAAACTGTGGGTTCTTGACGTGCAATACAACGAGTTCGCTGAATTGAGTGAAAAAGGGTTCACTTTTATGAAGAAAGATAAAGCAGTCATCTTGTCGTTTGACCACAATAATATTGAAAAAATACATGCTGAAACCTTCGATGGAATAACAGTTGGGTCTCTGGATTTAAGTCACAATAAACTTAATCAAGTTCCGGCAGAAATTTTTACCGGAAGCTTGGTTGAGTTGATGCTGAATAACAACACGGTGGAAGATTTACCGGATACATTTTTCCAACAGAAAAAATTGAAGGAGGTGGATGTTAGTGATAATCCTTTGACGTGCGGAACTGTGCAAAAATTGAGGAAGCTCGCCGAAGAAAATAGTATGACAATAAAATATGACAGACTGAATTGTTAAATGTTTAAGATAGGGAACGAGTTTTTTTGTAGCTTGTAATATTAGGCCACTTTTATCAAGATGGTATCCAGTCGCCTTGTTTAAATTTTTACACCAAATATCATCTACTAATCACTAAAAAAGCGCCACTTTTTATACAGTTAATGTCCTTTTTTTAAAACTTCAAATAAATGTATCGTACTGAAAGCACAAATTAGATTTTAATGCACATTTTCCTATCAATTCTACACAAGAACTAAAATGATGGTTCTAAGAATTTGATCAAATACGAAGCGACATTTGATCAAGAACAAAGTTTCCAAAAAACGTTTCAATGGCTGTTTTAAAATCGTTATTTATCAGACACAGTTCCTACCATATACTTTTCACCACTTTGTGTTTGCTTATAATCGATGTAAGTTGCTTAATTAAATACGAGGTGGAAGTAATCAGCCACGAAAATGAAAAAAAAAAATTCTTTATTTGAGCAAAAATTAGATTCTTTGCATTGAGGATAGGGCACTCAGGAATGCTGATTTAAATCCACCAAAACTTGAAAAAAATTATTTCATGTTTGACAGAAATCTGACTACAAATCTTAAGGTTGTATATCGTGTAAAAACTAAACAGAGCGAGATGTAAGTGTTGAATTTATTTTCGGTGTCGGAACTAAAAATTAAATGTTTCATACCGAATACATAAATTACATTTTAATATTTGTGTCCCCAAATTATGTACATACAGGAAGAAAAAAAATCACTTACTTATTGCTTGATTTTTTTTTAAATTTGGCAATTGACATGGCTTCTCTTTTTTCCATTCTTTTATATTGGTGCACATACAGTTTGAACATTGTAACTACTACTTCCAGAATGTTTGCATCGGTCGTTTTAGTTGTGCTCTGTTCTCTAGTTAATGGTCACGATTCTGATAACTTGATCACATATGAATTAACATTTTCGGATTTGTATTCAACAGAAAAACTATCAGGGAACGTTGTAAACGTTGACAACAACATTTCTAGAGTGAGTGTTTTAGAAAATTTGCCCGAACTCCGCAAGGGCATGTTAAACATAACTTACCTCAATTACCTCTGCATAGAAAACGTCAATTTACAATACATGGAGGAAGGAGTTTTTGATAACCAAAATATTAGCCTAATTTCACTTGCGGGTAATAAACTGGCTAAAATCCAGTCAAGAATATTCGACAATCTGTCAATAATGTTTCTGAGTTTAAGTGGAAACGAAATTAATTTCATTGAGAACGGAGCATTTAGAAACATGGTAAGCCTGCGCGAGCTGATATTATCTCAGAATAAGCTTACACAAATTAGTCCTGGTTATTTTGACAATACTCCCCACATACTAATTTTCGACGTCAGTTTTAATGAGATAACCAAAATTGAAGACGGAAGTTTTAGTTTTTTAAGCGACAGGGATCTAACGATTGCAATAAACGACAACGCAGTTGAGGAAATTCATCCCAGAGGTTTCGAAAACTTAAATATAATCGAGCTATCTCTTTCCAACAATTTGGTTCGGGACGTACCGGTGGAATTATTTAGGAAAAACAAGATTGGCATGTTAGTGCTGAGTTCTAACCAAATCGAAGAATTTCCGGATATTTTTAGCGAAGGGATTAATTCAAGTGTGAAAAGGGTGACGATATATGATAATCCTCTTAAATGTGAAACTGTGGAAAAATTGATCGACTCTGAGCGAAAATCAGGTCCTTCCTGCTTCTTAGAATACGATAGAGTTGCTAGGTGTCGTCAAAATTAAACACATAAAACTGTATTACTGTGTTTGTTTATTATAATATGTGTAAAAAATAAATACTGGGTTAAACGAAAAACGCGATATCTTATTTTAACATATTAAATGAGAGTTAAATCGGAAAATATAAAAATTTATGTCGAAGTCGTTGCAAATTTGATGAAAAATTTTCAGTTGGTTTGTGTGGACCCAAAAATATTTGGTAATTTATTTTTGTTGTTGGATGAACGAATTACTGAATGGACAAATTACATATAACACAGGTTCAGTACCTCCTAGTACATTACGTCAACTTACAATACATGGAGGCAGGAGTTTTTGATGGTCAAAATATTGCCATGATTTCACTTATCGGTAATAAACTAACCAAAATGCGATCGATGATATTCTACAACATTTACACAGAATTTCGGGATCTGAGTAAAAATGAGATTGATTTCATTGAGGAAGGAGCATTCCGAAACATGCTAAAACTGGAGCAGTTGATATTATCTCAAGATAAGCTTACGCAAATTTAGTCCGAGTTATTTTGACAACACTCAACATCCTTGACATTGAAAACAATGCAGTTGAGGAAATTCACCCGAGATGATTTGAAAACTTGAACATTACAATGCTTTCCCTCACGCATAATTTAATTGGGGACGTTCCAGGAGAACTAGTTACCAGAAACAAGATCGTGAGGTTACACTTGGGTTTTAACCAGATACAAGAGTTTTCGGATATTTTTTATCCGTGGAATAATTCAATTACAAAATGCTAACTATAAGTTTTAACCCTCTTAAATGTGAATCAATGGAAAAACTAATAGATTTTCGATAAAAAAGTAGGGCCAACGTTTCTTTGGATCGAAATTGTTTTACTAGGGTTCTTTTTCTGTGAAGTCAAACTTGGAATTTCTTATAAAATTTTGATTTTTTTTTTTAACAATAATATCGCGGTTTAGTTTTAAGTACATCCATCTGTATAAGAATAATTCTACTTCGTTTGTTATCGTTAGATCGCGTATTATACAGCAGACATAAAACCAGTGCCACCACATTGCCATCATTTGCTTGACCATGAATATATGTGGGACAACGGATTTCCCAGCAAACAGGTGTTATAATTAGACTCTCATGATGTAACTAACATCCGCGATCATCAGTATCTCTTTAGCTTTTCATCACTCAAATTTTAAATAATGGCCAGTTTGTACCAAATTTTTACCACCATTTTATTAGTGTGTTTTCAAACAATCGCAGCCAACTCCGAAATTAAGTATGAACTGAAAGTAACCACCCCTGTATACACCTACGAAACCAGCATCCTCAACAGAGAAGTAATAACCAGTGCAGAAAAGGCCTTCTCCATCACAGTTCTCAGTGATGTACCTGTTCTACGTAAAGGTATGCTAGAAATTACCCCCGAAACCTACTACTTTTGGTTAGATGGACGCAATCTAGAAAAAATTGAACCTGGTACTTTTGATAATCAAAACATAACTGAAGAGATTCGTCTTGAGAGCAACAAACTAACTGTCGTCGCTTCTGGTACTTTTAAAAATTTGAAAATCAAAAAACTGGATTTGGCGTACAACCAAATCACACACGTTGAAGAAAACGCCATCACCGATTTGCCAAACCTGGTCGAGGTTCATCTCTCTCGAAATAAAATTGCTAAATTCCATGATAATTCTTTCGTGAATACTCCAAGTATGTGGAGTCTTGACATGTTTCAGAATGAATTGGGTGAATTAGGTGAAAGGTGGTTCAGTTTTATGACCAAAGAAAAACCGGTGATTATGGGGTTTGGGGACAATAATATTGAAAAAATACATCCTAAAACGTTCGATGGAATCAGCATTTGGTATCTGAATTTAAGTGGTAATAAACTGAGTCAAGTTCCGGGAGAAATTTTTACAGGAAGTCTGATCGATTTGATGCTGAACAACAACACATTAGAAGATCTACCGGATTCTTTTTTCCAGCAGAAAAATTTGACGCGGCTCGATATTAGCAATAATCCTCTCAAATGTGGTACTGTGGAAAAATTGAAGAAGCTTGCCCAAGAAAATAGGACCTCTATGAAATATAACAACCAGAATTGTTAGACGTTTAAGATGTGGATTGAATAAAGTGTGTCAAAAATTTGTGCGCCTTTTGATTACCTTTTCTTTTCTTAGGAGTACAAAATTGACCTCAAACTTTTACAATCGCTAGTTACGCCAAGGTGTTTAAAACTAATTCTAAAAATAAAAAAACGCAAAAGATTAGAAAAAAAATGTTTTTCTAAAGTTAATTAATTCCCATTTTATTGTAAATTATAATGTGAAAATTAAAATTTGATGTAACCTGCTGAATGCACAAATTGAATTTTAATACGTATTGTCCTCCAAATTGTACCCGAGAACTAAAAAACCGCCTCTTTTATATTTTTTATATTTTAACAAGTGCCATAATTTGTCTTTTTTGTCATTCTTTTGTATTTTAATGAATTTATTTTTGACATTACAATTACCAGTTTAAAAATATTTACGTCAATAATTTTAGTTGTGCTCCATTCTGTATAGACGGCCACAGTTCTACAAATAATATGATCAAATACGAAATGACATTGAAACCATGGTCACACTCAAAAAAAAAAGTTGCCAAGAAACATTCTATACCTATGTTAGAGATGGTCTCTTTAAAGTCATTGTTTTGGAAACACAGCTTATATCAAATAATTACCACTGCTTTAATAGTATGTTTGCAAACAATTGATGCAAACTGCACAATTAAGTATGAGATGGAAGTACTAATCCCCGAATTTGAAACGATCACCCAAAACAAAGAAGTAATAACCAGCCAAGAAAATGCTTTTTCCATCACAGTTCTCAGTGACGTAACTGTTCTACATAGAGGTATGCTAGAAATCACTCCCGAAACCCCTTATTTTAGATTGGATGCTCACAATCTAGAAAAAATAGAAATCCGTACTTTCGATAATCAAAACATAACTGAAATTATTAGTCTTAATGGCAATAAACTAACTGTCATTGGTACTGGTACTTTTAAAAATATGAAGATTCGAATACTCGATTTGGGTTGCAACGAAATTACACACGTTGAGGAAAATGCCATCACCGATATGCCAAACTTACAAGAGATTCTCCTGGCTCAAAATAAAATTGTCGAACTCCATGTTAATTCTTTCGTGAATACTCCAAAAATGTGGATTCTTGACATGCAATTCAATGAGTTGCGTGAATTGGGTGAACAGTGGTTCGGTTTTATGAACAAAGAAGAGGGGCTGGAGATAGTGTTAGGGTTCAATAAGATTGAAAAAATACATCCTAAAACCTTCGATCGTCTCAGTATTTGGAATATCGATCTGAGTCATAATAAACTGAATGAACTTCCAGGAGAAATTTTTACAGGAACTTTGGCTGAGCTGATGCTGAATAACAACACATTAGAACATCTCCCAGATTCTTTTTTCCAACAGAATAATTTGAAAAGACTTAATATTCGCGACAATCCTCTCAAGTGTGGTACTTTAGAAAAATTGAAGATGTTTGCTGAAAAAAATATGGTGATAATGGAATATGACAACCGTTATTGTTAAGTAATAACGAACATTTGCTCGTTTCTTTTATTTTCTTGTCTCTCCTTTAATATATAGTACTATTTGATTGTTTTTTACGAAGAGGGCATCCAATGTCAAATATCGTTTGTGTTTATAAATCATAAAATTGTAAATGTTACCATAAAAATAATATTGCAGAGAAAAATTAAGGCTCTTCCTTACAGTCATTAAAATCTGCCGAAATACGGCAAAACGCCACTTCCAATATCATCCTTACTATAGCACTTGAAGATTTGTGCGACATATCTATTTGTTCGTGATACAAAAATCTTCATGGAAATAGTTTTTATATTGCATTAAAGGCTTCCGTTTTTTTAATAAAAAATAAAAACAGAAAAACTTATTTTTCTCTTTGAGCCAAAACTATAACGTATTTTGGCTTAAAAAAATCTGACAGTGTAGATAATATTATTGCTCACCTGGGGCTAATAATCATTTTTTCGTTAAACTATCCATTTTTTAGTTATTGTTGATTAAAGCAAGACCTAAAAAGGGCATTTTTTCTAAATGTAGGCAACCAAACATCTTCTTTCGTCAAGAACGAGCCAAGAAAGTGTATGATTTACGATAGGGGTTGGCCACTATTGAGAGATTATACGGATTTAAAACCTTTGCTGAGAAAATATGCAAATGAGGTGACCGTAGTGTGTTCTACCTGAAGGTTGTGGAATCGTACAATTATGTAGGAGTATTATATTAATCTAATTTCAGAATAACAAATAAATAACCGAGTTTGGATTTTTTACAAAACTGCCTAACTTGTTTCAACAGCTATAATTACTGCTGATCCCAAGTTAGACAAATTTCAAAATTATCAATATTATCATGAATCAATGAATATCAATAGAATAGAATAAACTTATTCAAAGTAAATTATGATGATTAAATAGTTATTTGGCACTAATCGTGTGTATGTACTGAATTACTTATCCTTATATCTTTATATTATAAGTTCCTCTAAATTTAAAAATGTAGACTGAGATAGAAATTTCTGTAACCCCTGTTCAAATCACCCCCACATCAAAATGTGAAGTTTCAGATGATGTAGCATCAATGCCAGATATGGTTCCAAAAGTGTATGAAGAAAAAAAATCTGATTTTTTAAAAATCTTATCACAGTGTAATGCTGTGACAATTGAAAAAACAACTCGTGGCCAGCGACTTAGTAATGACTGGAAAAAAGAAAGATCAATTCGTTTGACAGCTAGCAAGTTTGGAAAAATTTGCAAAATGAAAAATACCACGAACACTGCAAATACAGTTAAGGAAATTGTATATTCAGATACAACGTTCTCCAAAAAAATACCCGACGCTATACAGTTTGGAATAGTTCATGAGGAACAAGCCAGAATTAAATTTGAGTGTTTGACAGGTTTAAAGGTGTTACCATGCGGCTTATTCATCGATAACGCAAAAAAATATTTGGGAGCGTCTCCAGACGGAGTAATTAATAATGATACAATTATAGAAATTAAGTGTGCTTTTTCTGCCCGAAATAAAAAAATTAAAGAAGCCATAAAAGACGGTACCATTAAATTGTGTGTCATCAATGAAGCTGACGACTCGATTGTACTAAAATATAAGCACGATTACATGTATCAAGTGCAAGGGCAACTTCATATAACACAAAAAAAATGGTGTTATTTCATCATATATACTGAGGTTGATTTACAATATTTTTTAATTGAAAGAAATGACGATTTTTGGGAGAAAGAAATGGAAAGTTATTTGGAAAAATTTTATTTAAAAGCCATGCTCTCAGAAATTATTGATTCACGATGGAGTCGAAATCAGCAACTTCGTCCTATAATAAAAAAAGATTTATGATTTACAGACCATTATTTATTTTTATATCATTATATTTATTAGAGGCTATAATATGTATAAAGAATCTTCATAGTGTGCTTTGGAAAAAGTTGTTCTATTCTTTTCTTTTTCAGTGATAATTTTAAAATTTGTCTAAGTTATTTCACATTTGGGATCAGCAGCAATTATAGCTGTTGAAACAAGTTAGGCAGTTTTGTAAAAAATCCAAACTCGGTTATTTATTTGTTATTCTGAAATTAGATTAATATAATACTCCTACATAATTGTACGATTCCACAACCTTCAGGTAGAACACACTACGGTCACCTCATTTGCATATTTTCTCAACAAGGGTTTTAAATCCGTCTAATCTCTCAATAGTGGCCAACCCCTATCGTAAATCATACACTTTCTTGGCTCGTTCTTGACGAAAAAAAATGTTTGGTTGCCTACATTTACAAAAAATGCCCTTTTTAGGTCTTGCTTTAATCAACAATAACTAAAAAATTGATAGTTTAACGAAAAAATAATTATTAGTCCCAAGTGAGCAATAATATTATCTACACTGTCAGATTTTTTTAAGCCAAAATACGTTATAGTTTTGGCTCAAAGAGAAAAATAAGTTTTTCTGTTTTTATTTTTTAAAACTATTTTCATGAAGATTTTTGTATCACGAACAAGTAGATATGTCGCACAAGTCTTCAAGTGCTATAGTAAGGATGATATTGGAAGTGGCGTTTTGCCGTATTTCGGCAGATTTTAATGACTGTAAGGAGGAGCCTTAAAAGCTTGTTAACATTACTACCCATTTTCCGTGAAGTCAGACTCGACATTTCTCATATATTTTTTTTTAATTTTATAACTAACCAACATCCACTGTCGTCAGTAACTTTTTGGCCTTTCATCACTTTTTATTTTTGTTGATAGAATGTAACAGCCACAATTGTTAAGTGTTTAAGACGCAGAGTGAATAAATTTTGTGAAAGATTTGTTGGCTTCTTTTATTTCTTTTTGTTTAATATGTGGTAATATTTCATTATTTTTTACCAAGGTAGTACCCAGACACCATTATGTTCATTTATTTCCATTGTCGGATGATTAAAAGCTCGTTCTAAATGTACAAATTACATTTTAATGCTTGTTTTCCCCACAATTTTTTTAAGTAAATATATTTACGTATGATGGCAAAAAGTTATAACGTGCCGTGCTTTTACACAAAACATCTTAAATATCTTTTGAAAAAAACTCTGTTTGAAAATCTCCTACAGAAATATTTATAATATTTTTGGTTGTTTCATTTTAATTACTGAAAAAAATGTATCGATGAAATAACAAATTTGGACAAAAATTTTAAACCTGCCCCTGGAGTGTAGTAAACCTGATAAAAACTAAGTCGACTTGTTTGAATATTACATTTTGTGTAATTTTGTATGAATTTTGTTCCAGTAACGATGATATGGAAATTGTGAAAAAAACCACAGAAGTGTCATATTTTCAGGTAATTTTTGTTCATGTCATGTCTTTCGGACCCCTCATTTATTTTTATTATAAATTACTATGTGGAAATTGAAATTAAATGTAACCCGCTGAATGAACAAATTCAATTTTAATAGTTATTTTCCTCCCAACTGTGCACAAAAACTAAAAAACTGTCTGTTTTATATTTTTTTATATTTTAGTAAACCCCGTGATACATCAACCATATTACGTATGCTCCGTTCTGTATAAAAGGTAGGATCAAATACGAAGTTACATTTGACCCATTGTCAAACTTAAGAAAAAAGTTACCAAAAAATCGTTCTACATGGCCACTTTAAAGTCCCTGTTTTGGAAACACACTTTGTACCGAATTTTTATCACCAATTTATTAGTATCTTTTCAAAAAATTGATGCAAACTACTTAATTAAGTATGAGGTGACAGTAAACCCCCCCGAATTTGAAACAACCATCCACAACAAAGAGGTTATAACCACCCAACTAAATGCTTCTTCCATCACAGTTCTCAGTGACTTGCCCATCCTACGTAAAGGTATGCTAGAAATTACTCCCGAAACACTTCATTTTCGACTAACTGAACACAGTCTAGAAAAAATAGAAATCGGTGCTTTCGACAATCAAAACATAACTGAAACAATTTCTCTTAATAGCAACAAACTAACTGTCATCGCGTCTACTACTTTTAAAAATTTGAAAATTAGAGTACTCGACTTGGATTACAATGAAATTACACACGTTGAAGAAAATGCCATCACCGACATGCCAAACTTAGTCCAGGTTCTCCTGTCTCGAAATAGAATTGTCAAATTCCATGCTAACTCTTTCGTGAATACTCCAAATGTGTGGGAACTTGACATGCAATACAATGAGTTGGGCGAATTGGGGGAAAAGTGGTTCAGTTTTATGAAAAAAGAAGAAGCGCTGGTGATACTGTTAGGATACAATAATATTGAAAAAATACATCCTAAAACATTCGATGGAATAAGCATCTGGACTTTGGCTCTAAGTCATAATAAACTGAATGAAGTTCCCGGAGAAATTTTTACCGGGAATTTGGTTGAGTTGATGCTGAATAACAATGCATTGGAAGATCTACCCGATACTTTTTTCCAGCAGAGAAATTTGAGAAGACTCAGTATTGGTTACAACCCTCTCAACTGTGGTACTTTGCAAAAATTGAAGATGCTTGCCGAAGGAAATATTTTGTTAACAATGTATAACAACCAGTATTGTTAAGTGTTTAAGGTGCCGAATGAATAAAGTTTGTCAACGATGTCTTCGTGTCTTTCCTTTCATTTTTAGTGATATTTGATTATTTTATACCAAAATGACGCCCACCCACCATTTTGAAAATTTAACCACTGAATCTAACGTGATTTTCCACTTTTTATACAGTTAATGTCCTCGTTTTCGATGTTCATTTATTTTTATTGTTAGATAAAGTACGGAAATCACAATTAAATGTATCGTACTGAATGCACAAATTGGATTTTAATACACATTTTCCTACCAATTCTGCACAAGAATTAAAATTATGGTTTTGACAATTTCATCAAGAACGAAGCGACACTTGATTCACAATCATACACAAGAAAAAAGTTACCAGGAAACGTTATACTGGTTATCAATGCCTATTTTAAAATATCGGTTTTGGAAACACAGTTTGTTCCATATACTTTTCACCACTTTGTTGGGGTGTTTTCAAACAATTGATGTAAAATGCTTAATTAAGTATGAGGTAAACACCCCCGAATGTGGAACACTCATCCAAAACGAAGAAGTTATAACCACTCAAGTAGATTCTGCATACATCAACATTCTCAGTGACATAACTGTTCTACGTAAAGGTATGTTAGAACTTGCTGAAGAAACCTACACCTTTAGACTGGCTGATCACAATCTAGAAAAAATAGAAATTGGTGCTTTCGATAATCAAAACAAAATAACTTTCGTTGCTTCTGGTACCTTTAAAAATTTGAAAATTGCTATACTTGTTTTAAGTTACAACGAAATTACACACATTGAAGAAAATGCCATCACCGACATGCCAAACTTGACCGTGGTTCATCTACATCGGAATAAAATTGTTAAATTCCATGATAACTCTTTCGTTAATACGCCAAAAATATGTTTTTTTGATATACAATATAACGAGTTGAGAGAATTGGGTGAAAAGTGGTTTAGTTTTATGGAAAAAGAAGAAGCGCTGGTTCTTCAATTAGGGTGGAACAATATTGAAAAAATACATCCAAAAACCTTCGATGGGATAAGCATTCGGAGTTTGGATTTAAGCCATAATAAATTGAATGAAGTTCCAGAAGAAATTTTTACAGAAAGTTTAACTGAGTTGTCGCTGAATAACAACACATTGGAAGATCTACCGGATGCTTTTTTCCAGCTGAAAAACTTGACGGCACTCGATATTAGCGGCAATTCTCTCAAGTGTGGTACTTTATAAACACTGAAAAAGTTTGCTGAAGAAAATAGTTTGTTCATTAAAATATGACAACCAAAATTGTTAATAAGTATTTAAGATGGCGAAATATAAAAGTTTGCTAAATGTTTATTTGCTTTTTTATTTTCTTGTTTTTTCTTTAATATGTATTGTGATAATATTTGATTATTTTTTACCAAGATGGTGTTCAGCCACCATTTTGAAATTTTAATATATCAAATACCCTAGACTAGTGACGGGAAAGAGTGTGAAATGATTTTATACACAACATCGTGGGTGCAAAAAACTATAGAACATTATAACACAATCAATGTATCTGTAAAGTCTTGTTTCTTTTTGTCACATATTTGAATTACCGAGTGACTATTAATGTTTGAAATTGAGACTTCCGGTAACCCACTCCAGATTCGTCTTTATGGAACGCCAGCTTGTCACCGTCACCGATGATGACTAACCAATCGTCTCCGCGCTTACTAGAAAGCTCTCGACGGCCCATAGGCGTCGTAGCGGGGCGGCATATGGGTTTATTTCGTAACAATGTTGAAAATGGCATACCGAATCAAAATATAACCAAATTTTACTCGTCGGTGCCAAACTAACCAAAATCCGGTCGAGTATTTTCAGCAATATTTGCACAAAAATTCTTGATTTGAGCAAAAATTAAATTTCATTTCTAAAACTTGAAAAAAAATATTTCATGTTTGACAGAAATCTGACTACAAATCTTAAGGTTGTTCCTATTCGAACGTACATCGTGTAAAAACTAAACAGAGCGAGATGTAAATGTTGAATTTATTTTCGGTGTCGGAACCAAAAATTAAATGTTTCATACCGAATACATAAATTACATTTTAATATTTGTGTCCCCAAATTATGTACATACAGGAAGAAAAAAAATCACCTACTTAATTTATGTTTATTTTTTTTAAATTGGTAATGGACATGGTTTCTCTTTTTACCATATTGGTGCACATACAGTTTGAACATTGTAACTACTACTTCCAGAATGTTTACATCGGTCGTTTTAGTTGTGCTTTATTCTCTAGTTAATGGTCACAATTCTAATAACTTGATCACATATGAATTAACATTTTCGGATTTGTATTCAACAGAAAAACTATCAGGGAACGTTATAAACGTTGACAACAACATCTCTGCAGTGAGTGTTTTAGAAAATTTGCCCGAACTCCGCAAGGGCATGTTAAACATAACTTACCTCAATTACCTCTGCATCGATAACGTCAATTTACAATACATGGAGGAAGGAGTTTTTGATAACCAAAATATTAGCCTAATTTCACTTGAGGGTAATAAACTGGCTAAAATCCAGTCAAGAATATTCGACAATCTTCCAATAATATTTCTGAGTTTAAGTGGAAACGAAATTAATTTCATTGAGAACGGAGCATTTAGAAACATGCTAAGCCTGCGCGAGTTGATATTATCTCAGAATAAGCTTACACAAATTAGTCCTGGTTATTTTGACAATACTCCCCACATACTATATTTCGACGTCAGTTCCAATGGGATAACTAAAATTGAAGAAGGAAGTTTTAGTTTTTTAAGCGACGAGTATCTAACGATTGTAATTGACGACAACGCAGTTGAGAAAATTCATCCCAAAGGTTTCGAAAACTTAAATATAATCGAGCTATCTTTTTTGAACAATTTAGTTCGGGACGTACCCGTGGAATTATTTACGAAAAACAAGATTGGCATGTTAGTGCTGAGTTCTAACCAAATCGAAGAATTTCCGGATATTTTTAGTGAAGGGATTAATTCAACTGTGAAAAGGGTGACGATATATGATAATCCTCTTAAATGTGAAACTGTGGAAAAATTGATCGACTCTGAGCGAAAATCAGATCCTTCCTGCTTCTTTTAGAATACGATAGAGTTGCTAGGTGTCGTCAAAATTAAACACATAAAACTGTAATACTGTTCGTTTGTTTATTATAATATGTGTAAAAAATAAATACTGGGTTAACGAAAAACGTGATATCTTATTTTAACATATTAAATAAAAGTTAAATCAGAAAAATATAAAAATTTATGTCGACGTCGTTGCAAATTTGACGAAAAATTTTCAGGTGGCTTGTGTGGACCCAAAAATATTTGGTAATTTATTTTTGTTGTTGGATGAACGAAATTTCGTACTGAATGGACAAATTACATTTTAATACTTGTTTTCCTCTAGCTGGACACAAGAACAAAAAATGAAGCATTTATATTTTTTTTATTTTTTTTTATTATTTAAACGAATCTCTTGCTACATTTCTTAATACACCAAGTTTTGACACCGTAACTATAAATTTAAAAATGTTGTCATCGGTCTTGTTAATTGTAGTCTGTTCTGTGATCAAAATCCTCGGTTCTAATAATTTGATCACATAAGAAGTGGCATTTCGTAGACATCCTCGGGGTGTAGGTTTTAGAAAATTTGCCTCATATTATCTCAAAATAAGCTTACGCAAATTAGTCCGAGTTATTTTGACAACATTCAACATCTTTGACATCGAAAACAATGCAGTTGAGGAAATTCACCCGAGATGATTTGAAAACTTGAACATTACAATGCTTTCCTTCACCCATAATTTAATTCGAGACGTTCCAGGAGAACTGGTTACCAGAAACAAGATCGTGAGGTTACACCTGGATTTTAACCAGATACAAGAGTTTCCGGATATTTTTTATCCGGGGAATAATTCAATTACAAAATGCTAACTATAAGTTTTAACCCTCTTAAATGTGAAACAGTGGAAAAACTAATGAATTTTCGACTAAAAAGTAGGGCCAACGTTTAGATCGAAATTGTTTTACTAGGGTTCTTTTTTCGTGAAGTCAAATTTGGAATTTCTTATACATTTTTGAATATTTTTTTTAAAACAATAATATCGCAGTTTATTTTTAAGTACATCTATCTGTCTAACAATAATTCTACTTCGTTTGTTATCGTTAGATCGTGTATTATACAGCAGACATAAAACCAGTGCCACCACATTGCCACCATTTGCTTGACCATGAATATATGTGGGACAACGGATTTCCCAGCAAACAGGTGTTATAATTAGACTCTCATGATGTAACTAACATCCGCGATCGTCAGTATCTCTTTGGCTTTTCATCACTCAAATTTTAAATAATGGCAAGTTGGTACCAAATTTTTACCGCCATTTTATTAGTGTGTTTTCAAACAATCGCAGCAAACTCCGAAATTAAGTATGAACTGAAAGTAACCACCCCTGTATACACCTACGAAACCAGCATCCTCAACAAAGAAGTAATAACCAGTGGAGAAAAGGCTTTTTCCATCACAGTTCTCAGTGATGTACCTGTTCTACGTAAAGGTATGCTAGAAATTACCCCCGAAACCTACTACTTTTGGTTAGATGGACGCAATCTAGAAAAAATAGAACCTGGTACTTTCGATAATCAAAACATAACTGAAGAGATTCGTCTTGAGAGCAACAAACTAACTGTCGTCGCTTCTGGTACTTTCAAAAATTTAAAAATCAAAAAACTGGATTTGGCGTACAACCAAATCACACACGTTGAAGAAAACGCCATCACCGATTTGCCAAACCTGGTCGAGGTTCATCTCTCTCGAAATAAAATTGTTAAATTCCATGATAATTCTTTCGTGAATACTCCAAATATGTGGTCTCTTGACATGTTTCAGAATGAGTTGGGTGAATTAGGTGAAAGGTGGTTCAGTTTTATGACCAGAGAAAAACCGGTGATTATGGGGTTTGGGGACAATAATATTGAAAAAATACATCCTAAAACGTTCGCTGGAATCACCATTTGGTATCTGAATTTAAGTGGTAACAAACTGAGTCAAGTTCCGGGAGAAATTTTTACAGGAAGTCTGATCGATGTGACGCTGAACAACAACACATTAGAAGATCTACCGGATTCTTTTTTCCAGCAGAAAAATTTGACGCGGCTCGATATTAGTAATAATCCGCTCAAATGTGGTACTGTGCAAAAATTGAAGAAGCTTGCCGAAGAAAATAGGACCTCTTTGAAATATAACAACCGGAATTGTTAGGCATTTAAGTTGTGGATTGAATAAAGTGTGTCAAAAATTCGTGCGCCTTTTGATTGCCTTTTTTTTTCTTAGGAGTACAAAATTGACTTCAACCTTTTAAAATTGCTAGTTACGCCAAGGTGTTTAAAACTAATTCTAAAAATAAAAAAAAGCAAAAGATTAGAAAAAAAAAATGTTTTTCTAAAGTTAATTAATTCCCATTTTATTGTAAATTATAATGTGAAAATTAAAATTTGATGTAACGTGCTGAATGCACAAATTGAATTGTAATACGTATTGTCCTTCAAATTGTACCCAAGAACTAAAAAACCATCACTTTTATATTTTTTATATTTTAACAAGTGCCATAATTGGTCTTCTTTGTCATTCTTTTGTATTTCAATGAATTTATTTTTGACATTATAAGTGCCAGTTTAAAAATATTTACGTCAATCATTATAGTTATGCTCCATTCTGTATAAACGGGCACAGTTCTAATAATAATTTGATCAAATACGAAGTTACATTGGACCCAGGTCACACTCAAAGAAAAAAGTTGCCAACAAACGTTCTATACCTATGTCAAATATGGCGTCCTTAAAGTCATTGTTTTGGAAACACAGCTTATATCAAATAATTACCACTGCTTTAATAGTATGTTTGCAAACAATTGATGCAAACTGCACAATTAAGTATGAGATGGAAGTACTAATCCTCGAACTTGAAACGATCACCCAAAACAAAGAAGTAATAACCAGCCAAGAAAATGCTCTTTCCATCACAGTTCTCAGTGACGTAACTGTTCTACATAGAGGTATGCTAGAAATCACTCCCGAAACCCCTTATTTTAGGCTAGATGCTCACAATCTAGAAAAAATAGAAATCCGTACTTTCGATAATCAAAACATAACTGAAATTATTAGTCTTAATGGCAATAAACTAACTGTCATCGCTACTGGTACTTTCAAAAATATGAAAATTCGAATACTCGATTTGGGTTGCAACAAAATTACACACGTTGAGGAAAATGCCATCACCGATATGCCAAACTTAGAAGAGATTCTCCTGGCTCAAAATAAAATTGTCGAACTCCATGCTAATTCTTTCGTGAATGCTCCAAAAATGTGGATTCTTGACATGCAATTCAATGAGTTGCGTGAATTGGGTGAACAGTGGTTCAGTTTTATGAACAAAGAAGAAGGGCTGGAGATAGTGTTAGGGTACAATGAGATTGAAAAAATACATCCTAAAACCTTCGATGGACTCAGCATTTGGTATATGGATCTGAGTCATAATAAACTGAATGAACTTCCAGGAGAAATTTTTACAGGAACTTTGGCTGAGCTGATGCTGAATAACAACACATTAGAACATCTCCCGGATTCTTTTTTCCAACAGAATAATTTGAAAAGACTTAATATTCGCGACAATCCTCTCAAGTGTGGTACTTTACAAAAATTGAAGATGTTTGCTGAAAAAGATATGGTGATAGTGGAATATGACAACCGTTATTGTTAAGTACTAAGATGCGAAGTTGATGAAGTTAACGAACATTTGCTCGTTTCTTTTATTTTCTTGTCTCTCCTTTAATATGTAGTACTATTTGATTATTTTTTACGAAGAGGGCATCCAATGTTAAATATCGTTTGTGTTTATAAATCATAAAATTGTAAATGTTACCATAAAAATAATATTACAGAGAAAAATTAAAAGCTTGTTAACATTACTACCCATTTTCCGTGAAGTCAGACTCGGCATTTCTCATATATTTTTTTTAATTTTATAACTAACCAACATCCACGTTCGTCAGTAACTTTTTGGCCTTTCATAACTTTTTATTTTTGTTGATAGAATATAACAGCCGCAATTGTTAAGTGTTTAAGACGCAGAATGAATAAATTTTGTGAAAGATTTGTTGGCTTCTTTTATTTCTTTTTGTTTAATATGTGGAAATATTTTATTATTTTTTACTAAGGTAGTACCCAGCCACCATTTTGTTCATTTATTTCCATTGTCGGATGATTAAAAGATCGTTCTAAAAAATTATTATTAATTATTACATTTACATTACATTTTAATGCTTGTTTTCCTCACAATTTTTTTGAGTGAAAGTCTCAAATATATTTAGGTATGATGGCAAAAAGTTATAACGTGCCGTACTTTTACACAAAACATCTTAAACATCTTTTGAAAAAAGTCTGTTTGAAAACCTCCTACAGTAATATTTATAATATTTTTGGTTGTTTCATTTTAATTACTGAAAATAAAGTGTCGATGAAATAACAATTTTGACCAAAAATTTTAAAGTTGCCCCTGGAGTGTAGTAAACCTGATAAAAACTATAAGTCGACTTGTTTGAATATTCATGTTAAATTTCGTTTAATTTTTTATCGACTTTGTTCCAGTAACGATGAACTTCCAGGAGAAATTTTTACAGGAAGTTTGGTTGAACTGATGCTGAATAAAAACACATTAGAACATCTCCCCGATTCTTTTTTCCAACAGAAAAAATTGAAAAGACTCAATATTGACGACAATCCTCTCAAGTGTGGTACTTCAGATGAATTGAAGAAGTTTGGTAAAAAAATATGGTGAAAATGGAATACGACAACCTTTATTGTTAAGTACTTACTAAGATGCGAAGTTAGTACTATTTGATTGAGGGTATCCAGTATCAAATTTCGTTTGTGTTTACAAATCATAAATTTGTAAATGTTAGCTTAAAAATAATATTACAGAGAAAAATTAAAAGCTTGTTAACCCGTATTTTGGATATGTATGAATTATCCTTTTTTCAATTGATTGACGTACATTAATTATTGCAAATTATTTATTTGCAATTTACATTTAGACTATTTCTACTAGTGAAGAAATTGCAAAAAAAAATATTTTATAGTGGACGAAACTTCTGAAACGTGTGGAGGTTATATTGTCAATCTATTTCTAGGTTGTTTAAGTGATAAACGGTCTAGTAAATATTACTTAATTACATACAAACAATTAGAAAAAACAATTATCTGACTATATTAAGATTTATTAATGAAGCTTTCATGAATTTCGTTCTTCTTATTGTTGTTCTGACAGAGAAAGTTTTAGTTATGTTATCCAATGCAGCGACATTTACAGACAGAATTTTAGAAAGGAAAATTTGGAAAAACACCTGATTGTCCAAAGAAAATATAAAAATATGTTATACGTAATAAGTTTAATTATAGAAATTTCAATGTATTTTTGTATGAAGTTCAATCTTTTTTTCCGAGTCGCCAGATGTAAATTGCATATGTGTATAAAACTCTGCATATACGGAAAAATTAAATTTATCGTACTGAATGTACAAATTGAATTTTAATACGTCTTTTCCTCCCAATTATGTAAAAGAATGAAAAACATCTCTATTTTTGTAGTTGTTTGAATACATTCAATTTTGACATTATAACTGCAATTTTAGTCACACATTACATACGAAGCGACATTTTATACACAGTCATACTCAAGAAAAAAGTTTCTAGATGTTTTCAATGGCCACTTTAAACTCACTATTTTGGAAATATAGTTTGTACCAAATTCTTATCACCACTTTACTAGTGTTTCGAGCAACTGCTGTAAATTGCTTAATTAAGTATGAGTTGAAAGCAATCACCCCCGAAAATGAAGCAATCATCCACAAGGAAGAAGTTATAACCAACCAAGTAAACGCTTTTTCCATCACTCTTCTCAGTGACGTCACCGTTTTACGCAAAAGTATGCTACTAATTACTTCCGAACTCCTTTACTTACAACTAGATGGTCACAATATAGAAGAAATAGAAACCGGAGCTTTCGATAATCAAAACATAACTGAATTAATAAGTCTTAACAACAACAAACTAACTGCTATCGTTTCTGGTACTTTTAGAAATATGGAAGTTCGAGCAATCGATTTGAATCACAATGAAATTACACACGTTGAAGAGAATGCCATCACCGATATGCCAAACTTGATCCAAATTATCCTGTGTCGAAATAAAATTGTCAAATTCCATGGTAACTCTTTCGTGAATACTCCACAAATGTTGATTGTTTATCTGCAACACAACGAGTTGGGGGAATTGGGTGAAAAATCGTTCAGTTTTTTTAAGAAAAAAGAAGCAGGGTTCGTAGAGTTGCAGTACAACAAAATTGAAAAAATACATCCTAAAGTCTTCGAAGAATCAAGGATTTGGTACCTGGATTTAAGTCACAATAAACTGAATGAAGTTCCGGAAGAAATGTTTACAGAAAGTTTGGTTGAGTTGAAACTAAATAACAACACACTGGAAGATCTACCGAGTTCTTTTTTCCAGAAGAAAAATTTGAAAGTACTCGATATTAGCGACAATCCTCTCAAATGTGGTACTTTACAAAAACTGAAGAAGTTTGCCAGAGAAAATAGTTTGGCAATAAAATATGACAACAAGAATTGTTAAGTGTTTAATATGCAGAATGAATAAAGTTTATCAAAGATTTGTAGCCTTCTTTTATCTGCTTTTGTTTAATATGTAGCAATAGTTGACTATTTTTTACCTAGATGGTGCCCAGCTTAATCTTTGACTTCTTTTTCTAAATATGTGTATACAGTTTTCTTCCACCTACACGATACTTAAAATATATTTCACATGGTAATTTCTTGGAAAAAATAAGAATTTTGCAAATAAGCTCCGCCTCCGTTTCACGACGATTAAAGAAAACTACACATTGGGATGAGGGCGGGTGGGCGGTGTATATGTAGCCTTTTTTCCCTTAATATATACGTAGTCATTTTTTCATAGCCAGAAACTTAAAAACATATTTAAAATGGTAAATTTTTGTAGACAAATACGGATTTTGCAATTAAGGTCCGCCCCTTGATGTGATATCAAATGAAAAATTCGTCACAACTGAGATATGGGCGGGTGGGCGGGGCTTAATGATTTATTTCTCTTTCTAAATATGTATATAGGGGAAGGAAGGGCGGAACGGGGTACTTAGTGTTTACATGAACTTTTAGACAAAAAAAAGCGAAATATATCAATATCTATTGACATTGAACAAGAGCTTAGAGTATTAGCTAAACATTTTAGAAATAGTTGTTCCCAAATTTGCCGTTGGTAAATTTTTAAAAATTACTATACATAAAGTGTGGATTTGTCCCATTCTGCCCCAGGGGTAGGGTGGAATGGGGTATAGTAAGTGATAGTTAAATAAGTGTGCAAAACCTAAACTGGATATTTATTTTTAGTATATTTGAATACTACAAAATTATTTGCAAATGTCGCAAATATGAACAGCTTCGTCGTTTTCGCTATCCACACCAGCATAAGAATTGTGTGCCCATTTATGACACATAGAACATGAAATCCATCCTTCTACAGATTTTGAATAAAACTCTTCGCAGTAAAGGCATTCGACATCACTTCCTTCTGAGGATGAATCAGAAGATTCTTTGTTTTTTTTTAGATTTCTTAACGATTTTAGATTTCTTCTTTTGTGATGTTTTAGTTTTAGATGGTGTGTGGTCCCATTTTAGAGTTTTCTTTATTGTTCCTTTCTTTTTCGTTAAAGATGACGACTTTTTTGCAACAATTGTCGTCTCTAATTCTTCCTTGTATGGAGTGGATGTTAAGATGACTGTTTTGCCCCTTTTTCGAGAAACTCTTTTAGTAGTTTGTTTGATAATTGGAACAGGCAATGCTATTTTAGGAGACAAGCATGGAAAACTTGAACTGCTATCATTAGATTTGGAAGTTGTGTTGTCCCAAAAAGAACATTGCGGCTGAGGATTTAAGATATCAGATGCAGTTCTTTGTGGTCTTGGTGATTTAGCCTCTGTAACCACAAAAGATACTATTTCTGTAGGAGTTTTTGCCCAAGACTCCTCCAAAGGTGTTGATGGTTCTTCTGGTCCATTTTCTGATTCAACATTTGCTATCTCAGTGGTAGCAGAGGGTAAATAATCTGCTTCGGTAAAGACTTCTGGATCAAGAGGCCAAATGCCAGTCTTTCGAAATCCACTGACAGCGGTTTTCATTGTTGCTGAGTTAACGAGTGCACTTCCAAATAATGTTGAAATCTGAGAGAGTGTAACGACTTTTCCGGGATTGCAGCCAAGCCAATTGCGAACTTCAGTCTCATAATGTGCACTCAGAGGTTTCATAAAAGACACATCTAGTGGTTGAAGCCTGTGAGTAGTATGCGGTGGAAAGCATAGCAAAACAACACCGTTGTCACGTGCGGATAAAACAAGTTCTAAATTTTTAGTGTGGGTCCATCTAGAATGAGAAGCACAGGGCGTTCTTTAGTTGCTCTCGAAAATGGAATAAACGTTTTAAACCATTTCATAAAAAGTTCTGTTGTTATCCACCCTGAGTCACTAGTGTCTACTAAAGACCCAATAGGTAAACCAAGTTCGAAAGATTGCTGTTTTCGCTTTCTAGGAAATATAAGCATGGGGGGCATGTATTCTCCAGCAGCAGAAATACAAATTTCTGCTGTTACAGTTTCTCCACGTTCTGAAGAGGTTAGAGTCCCAACTTGGCGTTTTCCTGTCCGTGCCAGAATCTTCGTATGACCTTTTGGATTAACGGTTACTCCCGTTTCGTCAACGTTATAAATTCGATCACCTGTCAATTTATGCTTGTCTATAGTTTCTAACAATAAACTAAAAAATTTAGTAACAGCAACGCGATTGAAGCCCATTGCTCGAGCTCCTGAAGTAGCTTCAGGGGTTCGTAATGATACATTCGGATGCCGTTTTAGAAATGCTCGCATCCAGTCCTTGCCTGCCATCTGTGTGGTAGCATTGAATCTATTAGCACAATTATTTGTAACAGCTAATTGATAAAGGAATCGCCGCATATCAATCATAGTAAGTCCGAATAATCTAGATTCCATGTTAATTATATAATCTACTAGTTATAGCTCTTGTTCATGTGTAAAAACTGGACGAAATTTTCCAGCTGTTTTGTCAATTTTAAAATTGTCTTTGGCTTGTTTTTTTTTCTTAACATAGCGTTCGAGAGTTGTTTGTGGAACACCAAATTGAGTCGCAGCTTTTTTGTAACCCAATTCTTCATTGACTACTGCCAAAACCGCTTGATTCATCGATTGAACTGACCAATTTTGCCTCTCTGTTTTCCGCACGTAATCACGAACCATCTAAAATGATAAGATGGTATATTAAAGTAAAGCATAAAAGATAAAATACAGCGAATAAACGTGGTCTCAGCACTGGGGTAGAATGGGGTAGGTACCCCAATCCGCCCCAACTCATTCTGCCCCACATGCTGATCATCTATGTCAGACAATAAATTTTATAAACAAAAACCATGTGGGTAAAACCGCATGGATGAAAAGAAAGCTAATTGAATGTAGAATGTAAAGAATGTATACTTATGGCTAATAATAAATGAAAACAATACTTACGATGGCTATGAAAAAACGCTGAAACTACAAAACACCCGCAAGAAATAGTCACTAGGCCGGTTAACACAGTAATGCTTCGCATATGGAAGAGACGTTGGAGGGGAAGGAAATATAACGTCTGGTGATGCGTTCTAAGAAAATTCAAGCAGATATGTCGACACCTCTTGATTTTAAAACGTGTACCCCGTTCTACCCGACTACCCCGTTCCACCCAGCTTTCCCCTACAGTTTTCTTCCACCTACACGATCCTTAAAATATATTTCACATGCCAATTTCTGGGAAAAGATAAGAATTTTGCAAATAAGCTCCGCCTCCGTTTCACGACGATTAAAGAAAACTACACATTGGGATGAGGGCGGGTGGGCGGTGTATATGTAGCCTTTTTTCCCTTAATATATACGTAGTCATTTTTTCATAGCCAGAAACTTAAAAACACATTTAAAATGGTAAATTTTTGTAGATAAATATGGATTTTGCAATTAAGCTCTGCCCCTCGATGTGATATCAAATGAAAAATTCATCACAACTGAGATATGGGCGGGTGGGTGGTACTTAATCATTTATTTCTCTTTCTAAATATGTATATATAGTTTTTTCCTCCTACACATTACTTAAAATATATTTCACATGGCAATTTCTGGGAAAAGATAAGAATTTCGCAATTAAGCTCCGCCTCCGATTCACGACGACTTAAAAAAACATCATAATTGAATGAGGTCGGGTGGGCGGTGCTTATTTTAGCCTTTTTTTTTAGTAATATACGTAGTAATTTTTTCACAACCAGAAACTTAAAAACACATTTAAAATGGTAAATTTTTGTAGACAAATACGGATTTTGCAATTAAGCTCCGCCCCTCGATGTGACATCAAATGAAAAATTCATCACAACTGAGACATGGGCGGGTGGGTGGGGCTTAAACATTTATTTCTCTTTCTAAATATGTATATACAGTTTTCTTCCACCTACACGATACTTAAAATATATTTCACATGGCAATTTCTTGCAAAAGATAAGAATTTCGCAATTAAGCTCCGCCTCCGATTCACGACGATTTAAAAAAAACATCATAATTGAGATGAGGTCGGGTGGGCGGTGCTTATATTTAGCCTTTTTTTTAGTAATATACGTAGTCATTTTTTCACAGCCAGAAACTTAAAAACACATTTAAAATGGTAAATTTTTGTAGACAAATACGGATTTTGCAATTAAGCTCCGCCCCTCGATGTGAAATCAAATGAAAAATTCATCACAACTGAGATATGGGCGGGTGAGCGGGGCTTAATCATTTATTTCTCTTTCTAAATATGTATATACAGTTTTCTTCCACATACACGATACTTAAAATATATTTCACATGACAATTTCTGGGAAAAGATAAGAATTTCGCAATTAAGCTCCGCCTCCGATTCACGACGATTAAAAAAAACATCATAATTGAGATGAGGTCGGGTGGGCGGTGCTTATATTTAGCTTTTTTTTTGGTAATATACGTAGTCATTTTTTCACAGCCAAGAACTTAAAAACACACTTAAAATGGTAAATTTTTGTAGACAAATACGGATTCTGCAATTAAGCTCCGCCCCTCGATGTGATATCAAATGAAAAATTCATCACAACTGAGATATGGGCGGGTGGGCGGGGCTTAAGCATTTATTTCTCTTTCTAAATATGTATATACAGTTTTCTTCCACCTACACGATACTTAAAATATATTTCACATGGCAATTTCTGGGGGAAGATAATAATTTCGCAATTAAGCTCCGCCTCCGATTCACGACGATTAAAAAAAAACATAATAATTGAGATGAGGTCGGGTGGGCGGTGCTTATATTTAGCTTTTTTTTTAGTAATATACGTAGTCATTTTTTCACAGCCAGAAACTTAAAAACACATTTAAAATGGTAAATTTTTGTAGACAAATACGGATTTTGCAATAAAGCTCCGCCCCTCGATATGATATCAAATGAAAAATTCATCACAATTGAGATATGGGCGGGTGGGCGGGGCTTAATCATTTACTTGTCTTTCTAAATATGTATAAACAGTTTTCTTCCACCTACACGATACTTAAAATATATTTCACATGGTAATTTCTTGGAATAAATAAGAATTTTGCAATTAAGCTCCGCCTCCGATTCTCGACGATTTAAAAAAAAAACCTCACAATTAGGATGAGGGCAGGTGGTCGGTGTTTATATTTAGCCTTTTTTTCCCTTTATATACGTAGTCATTTTTTCACAGCCAGAAATTTGAAAACACATTTAACATGGTAAATTTTGTAGATAAATACGGATTTTGCAATTAAGCTCCGCCCCTTGATGTGATAACAAATGAAAACTGTGATCTGGGCGGGTGGGCGGGGCTTAGTCCTTGGCTTCTTTTAATATATAATTTCTTTCAACAACACGATACTTGAAATGTGTCACATAGTAATTTCTTGTATTGAAATTAGGATTTTGCTAAGCTTACCACGAATAAAAAAAATAATCACAATTAAGGACGCCCACGCGTCCCCATCTCAAATGTGATAAATTTCTTATTCGTTGTGAGCCGGAGGAGGAGCTTAATTGCAAAATCCTTATTTCTCTACAAGAAATTACGGTGTGAAACATATGTTAAGTACGTGTTGCAGAAAAAAACTAAATACGTTAAGAAAAAGAAGCAAATAAATAAGCCCCACCCACCCACCCCTACCTTAATTGTGATGAATTTTTCATTTGTTGTCAGATCGAGGGGCAGAGTTTAATTACAAAATCACAAAATTTACCGAAGAAACATTTTTTAAGTTTCTTGTTGTGAAACTTGTATAAGCAAATCCATAAATATGAATGGAATGATAAATCACAAGTAGAGACTCATCATATTCTGGACATTTTAGATAGGATTTATTCGGCAAAATTTTGAGCTGAGGTCATCAATTTTTTGGAGGGGATAAGCAAAGATAGTCATTTTAATGCTTATTTCCCGTCACATTTTTTTATGAATGAAATGATTTATCTTGTTACCATTTTTATAATAAACCCATACGACGCCTATAGATTTTCTAGTGTGTGCGGCGATGATGGGTGACTCATCGCCGGCGACGCAACAGGGCGACATTCGCACAAGAACAAGTCTGGGGCGAATTAAAATGTCTCGATTGCGGGGTCGAGAAAAACCTCGAAGCGGCGTTCGGGATCCATCCAGAGGAACGTATAGATTTAAACAGAGGCCACCGTCGGGAACGATTATTTTTCAGTCAATTCAGTCCACGGAAATTATTTTGCTCTGTAATACACCGATATTAATCACCGTTCAACGTAACAGTACCATGCTGAAAGCACAAATTGCATTTTAATACTTATTTTCCTCCCAATTTTAACAAGTGCCATAATTGGTCTTTTTATCATTCTTTTGTATTTCAATGAATTTATTTTTGACATTATAATTGCGAGTTTATAAATATTTTCGTTATACTCCGTTCGATAAAACGGTCACAGTTCTAATAATAGTTTGATTAAATACGAAGTTACATTTGACCTATGGACAAAAGTTGCCAAGAAACATTGGAGATATCAGTAATGGGTTCCTTAAAGTCACTGTTTTGGAAACAAAGCTTGTATCAAATAATTACCACTGCTTTATTAGTATGTTTTCAAACAATTGATGCAAACTGCATAATTACGTATGAGATGGAAGTACTAATCCCCGAATTTGAAACGATCACCCAAGACAAAGAAGTAATAACCAGCCAACCAAATGCTTTTTCCATCACAGTTCTCAGTGACGTACCTGTCCTACATAGAGGTATGCCAGAAATCACCCCCGAAACCCCTTATTTTAGGCTATATGCTCACAATCTAGAAAAAATAGAAGTCGGTACTTTCGATTATAATATATTTCAAAGAAAAGTGTCCGAATTTCAAAAGTTATACAAGGCACCACTGGTACGCCATATATTTTCTACGTCGTTCCGCTCAGCTGTTTCTCTTCTCTCTGCGCCGGTCCACGCCAGCGGCGCCAGCATCACGGGGGCCGGTCCAGTGGCGGCCACGTGGCGGCAGCGGTAACAGTCGGCTACGCTACCAGCCTCCGCGTCCCCGTGGAGCGAGTTGCCCTAAAAGAAGAGGGACCAGTTAACAAACAAATTAGGCTAAATCTCGCCTCAACTATTCCCGAGTTAGTAACCCTATATAACTTATTCTAAGCTTATAATAACATAACCTGTTGCTAGGGGATACTAAGACAGCAACGTAGTGATCTTAGAATTCCACTAGCTGACCTTATGACGAACAACCCTCATGGCTAGTCTCAGATTCTCCGTCGGATTCTGAACTAACTCTCACGTTGTAGGGCTTTAGCTTATCGAGGGAAACGACTCCTCTGTAGCTTCTCTGCGATCGAGAAGAACCTGTCATGTCCTCGACTACATAGCGATCATGTGTCAGGACTTCTGTAATGACAAAGGGCCCACTATACTTTGGCAGAAGCTTCTTGCTTTGGCCCTGGTTACTAGCAGCAATCGTTCGCACTAGAACCTGTTCACCTTTCTTATACGTTCGCCCCGCACGTCGATGTGCATCGAAGGAAGCTTTGCGTTTGCTTTGATGGGCGTCTATACGAGCTTTTGCGTTCGCTCTCATTGCTTGGACGTCTCCTGCATTCTCTGGTTCAATTGCCACTTCGTTGGCCAGAAATGCAGTACCAGTGCTTCTTGGCGCGCATCCGAACAGCAACTCGTATGGCGATTTTCCCGTAGACGAATTCGCCGTAGAATTCAGTCCCCATCGCACTGCCGAGACGGCTTCGTCCCATCTTTGTTCATCTTCCATAGATGACGCCAGTGAGGCTAATATCGTGCGGTTGTAACGTTCAACCTGACCATTTGCTCTCGGGGTTGCCGTTGCGTTCAAAACATGCTTTATGTTTAGAGTCTTGCAGTATTCCGTGAACTGCTTACTAGTAAAACAGCTACCTCTATCTGAGATGATTCTTCTAGGAACACCAAAATTGTCTATCATGCTATTCAAGAAGTTAACCACGAGTCGTGCCTTAGTTGATGGGACTGCCTTCATGAACACGAACTTTGTAAAAGCATCTACAAGCACTATTAAATATGCATTCTTTCGTTTCGACTTGACAAAAGGGCCCAGATGATCAACGTGAAGTGTGTCAAAGGGCACCGCAATTTTCTCGATAGGGTGCATGTAGCCTGGCTTTTTCCCACCCATGTCTTTGTTGTACAAGCACGGTAGGCAACTCGATATATACTTCTTGACGTATCTACGCATTCCAGGAAACCAGTATGATGCCGATATGGCCGATATCGTCTTCATATCTGCCAAGTGGCCATTCTCGTCATGGAAATGCGAGACGACGTTTCGTCTTGCCGTCTTAGGCACAACCCACTTATTCCCGTTGTTTGTAATCTTATACAGTCTATTGTTGATAAGACGATAGTTTGCATGTATATCTCGTTCTTCCTTATCCTCTGGCTTCCGTTGCAGAGTCTCGATAAGGTACTTGCACCTATCGTCCAACATCTGAGCGGTTAGAACCCAATCATCTTCGTTGATGTTTACGGCACCTGCAATCGTTACTTCTAAACCGACAGGGTTTCTGCTCAAAGCATCAGCGTGTGACATTTTGTGTCCCGGACGATATTCGACGTCAAACGTATAATCTTGGATGCTTAGCCACCATCTTCCAATTCTAGGGACTAAATCACGCTTCGATAGAGTGGCGCGAATCGCGCTACAATCCGTCACAACCTTAAATTTCAGACCAATCAAATATATTCTAAATGCTTTCAATGTATACACCACTGCCATTGTCTCTAACTCGTATGAGTGGTATCGTTGTTCTTCCTTCGTAGTCTGTCTGGAATAATATAGTACTGGTCGAACAGTACCGTCCCTTTGCCTTTGTAATAGAATGCCACCTATTCCCCATTTGGATGCGTCAGTGTGAACCTCCGTCGTCAATTGCGGGTCGTAAATCGCCAATAGAGGTCGTGATGTTAATGACTTTTTGAGGGCGTCAAAAGCTATCCGTTGTTCGTCACCCCATGTGAAAACAGTGTCTTTTTTTGTTAGGATTGTTAGCGGTTTAGCGATTTTAGCGAAATCTCTAACATACTTTCTGAAATAACTAGCCAAGCCAAGAAACTGTCTGACACCGCGTACATCAGTCGGCGTTGGGAAATTCTCGACTGCGACTGTCTTTGCTTTCCCTGGTCGTATGCCTTGGCCACTAATCTCATGTCCTAAGTATTCAACTTTTTCCATAAAAAACTGGCACTTGGCCGGGCGTAAAGTAAGTCCAGCAGTGCGAAGTGACTGTAAGACTAGTCTTAGATTAGCCATGCCACTTTCGATGTCTTCTGTCGGCAGCAATATGTCGTCCATATAAGCTAGCGCCTTCCCGTAACGCAAATTCCCCAAAACCTTGTTTATAGTTCTTTGGAACACAGCTGGTGCGTTACACAATCCAAATGGAACCCTGAGGAATTCGTAGTGACCGTCTGGAGTGACAAAAGCCGTTTTAGGAACAGAAGAAGCTTCTATTTGCAATTGGTGGTATCCGCTGGCCAGGTCCAGACTTGTAAAGTACCTACATCCTTTCAATTTTTCTACGAATTCGTCAACGTGTGGAAGAGGGAACCTGTCCTTTACTGTTTTGGCGTTTAAGGCTCTGTAGTCGACGCACATACGCTGCTCACCGTTTTTCTTCTTCACGAGGACTATAGGGCTCGAGTAAGGCGAATCCGATTCTTGGATGATCTCATTTTCGAGTAGATCTTTTACGATGTCTCTCACAACTTGGCGTTCATTGTGAGAGAGACGATATGGCCGATAGACCACAGGATTGTCATCCTGAAGATGTATCGACATCTTCAACACGTCGGTTTTGCCTAGATGTTTAGTGGTTGACGCAAAACAATCGCTAAATTCGTTTATTAAACTAACTAAATCACGGACCTGCGTTGGCGTGAGATGTTGATTGTATATCAGATTATGGAAATCGAAAACATCGACTACATCAACGGATTGTGTCGCTAACGGCAATGCAGTTGTTACTTTTGACACCGGAGACGACTTTTCCTCAAAACAAACTACAGACCTAACTAAGATTGTTTTGGGACTTACCTCGATATGCCGGTACGAAAGATTCGTGATGGCGACGTAGCCATCCTCCCCCTTTGTAATACATTCGTGTACGACGTGTTCTCCATCAGGCAGCGGTCGTAAGCCACCTTTTACGTATACGTCGTCGGCACAGGCACCTCGAGAAGTCACGGCGACGAGAGCCGTTCTCGGTTCTAACACGATTGATTCCTTTGCCCATAAAGGAATTTTCCTGGGAGGAACATCGAGAGTTTCGCACAAGTCACTTCCTCTTCGGGTAACTCGTACGGTCTGTCCAGAAACAATCATCATGATCTCATCTTGATTTAAGAAAGTTTGGCCCACCAGCACAGGAATTTCTTGAGCAGTATTGGGTACTATCAGGCTCTCAACTTCAGCCTCTGCACCATCTATCTTGAGTCGGATGATCAGTTTTCCGAGAGTTTTCGTGGCTACTCCGCCGTAACCTATTACATATTTCGTGCAGGGACTGCGTTCCATGTTCAGCATGTTGGCGGTATCTTCCCGGATTAGAACAGCGCCGCACCCCGAATCAACATATGCCTGGGAGGGCGTTTCATTAACCCAGCAGTCAAAAAAATAACTACTGTTGACGGGTGCCAAGTCTTTCTCAAGGACAACTTGATTCTTGATGGACTGCCTGCGGCAATCTTTTGTAAGGTGGCCCAACCGCTTACAACTGGCACATTCCACTTTGGGTTTCGGACACTTATCGGCAAAGTGACCCTCATCCCTACAGTTATAGCATTTTGGGGGTCTTCTAGCCGGTGGTTTCGCTTTTTTTGGAGGCGGCTCATTCGATCGCTCCCTTTCGCTCAAAGGACGGCGATGTGCAGTTGTAAACGCAGTTTTCGCTACAGTCGTGCTCGAGACGGACTTTTCAGGTTTTAGAACAGAGATATATTCAGCGTAGAGCCGGTCTGGGCTCGTATATCTACCTGCTCTGGCCCCTGCTTGGACGCTTGGATCTTCAATACCATCAATAATACACGACACGGCTCTATGTCCATTAATATCGCAAGCATTTGTAAGTTCTACCTTGTCAAAGTAATATCTTTCCCATGATTCTGTAGGCAACTTCATCCGATTTACGAGGGCACGTAACGTAGTGGCGAAATCTCTGTGTTCAGGGAAGGATTTTACGAGCAATTTCTTCCACTCTTTCCAACTCAGTCGATATGTTGATAAATTATCATACCAGCGTCGAGCTAATCCACTTAGACGACTCTGCATTAAAAATATCATGGTTGGCTCATCCCAGTTATTAATTTTTGCCAACTGTTCGATTTTTGCGATCCATTTCGCTGAACTCAAATTTGGATTTCCAGGCGTGAACTCGGGTATACTTTCCGGTTTTATAGCAACCCTAATTCCACGATGGTGTTTGTCTTTCGCCTTTGTTTGGTGCTTAATCAACTTTTCCACCAACGCTTCTAACCTGCTCACAGTATCGTTGGATTTTGATAACGGAGGTGTATTTGATGGCGTACATGACTTATGGTCGCTGCCCCGGCTCGTACCAGGTGCGCTTAAGTTTCGGGACGCTTTGGAAGGTGATCGAGTACGCTTCTGTCTGCGCTTGTAGTTCCCATCCGCTGAACTCGATCTGGAGCTCGAGCTACTGGAGTAACTATCACGATCCATCGCATTCACATCACTCCCGAACTCTCACAGAAAAGCACAAGGGCTATCCCACCGCTGCCCTATAATATATTTCAAAGAAAAGTGTCCGAATTTCAAAAGTTATACAAGGCACCACTGGTACGCCATATATTTTCTACGTCGTTCCGCTCAGCTGTTTCTCTTCTCTCTGCGCCGGTCCACGCCAGCGGCGCCAGCATCACGGGGGCCGGTCCAGTGGCGGCCACGTGGCGGCAGCGGTAACACGATGATCAAAACATATCCGAAATAATTGATCTTAGTAACAATAAACTAACTGTCATCGCTACTGGTACTTTTAAAAATATGATAATTCGAATACTCGATTTGGGTTACAACGAAATTACACACGTTGAAAAAAATGCTATCACCGACATGCCAAACTTGGAACAGATTCTGTTGTCTCGAAATAAAATTGTTAAATTCCATGCTAATTCTTTCGTGAATACTCCAAAAATCTGGATTCTTGATCTGCGGTACAATGAGTTGTGTGAACTGGGTGAAAAGTGGTTCAGTTGTATGAAGAAAGAAGAACCCCTGATCATAGAGTTGGGGCACAATAACATTGAAAAAATACATCCTAGAACCTTCGATGGAATCAGCATTTGGTATATGGATTTAAGTCACAATAAACTGAATGAAGTTCCAGGAGAAATGTTTACAGGAAGCTTGGCTGAGTTGAAGCTGACTAACAACACATTAGAACATCTACCGGATTCTTTTTTCCAACAGAAAGATTTGAAAGGTCTCAATATTGGCGACAATCCTCTCCAGTGTGGTACTTTACAAAAATTGAAGAAGTTTGCTGAAACAAATGGCGCGATAATAGAATATGACAACCAGAAATGTTAAATACTACAAAGAATAACTCGCTTCTTTTATTTTCTTGTCTTTCCTTTAATATTGTTACGATGAAGGGGTGATTAAAATCGGCGTGGGTTAAACTCAACAAATTATTTTTTAGTAACTCAAATTCACACAACGATTATGTACAAAATAGTACAACTTGTCTGGATTTTCTCGACACTCGCTGGGTGGCCTCTACTTAAACCTATACTTCCTTCTCCCTGTTAAAAATGCCCAATCAAATCCAATCAAAATTATTTTGGGATCGCCCAATATAAATTAGATTGGGTACGCCCAATCAAATCCAATCTGCGAGTAGTCCGCACGCCAATGGCACAAAGAAGGTAAAAAAAGGCCACCACAATGGTCACGTGGTACGCAAGCAAACATATTATCACTATTATAGCGAACAATAAAACTTTTTTAAAAAACAACTCTTTTACGCGGGTTTAAGTGTTAATATTATCCGAGAGAAGTATATTTTTGGGAAAAAATTCTGTGTTCGACACGATAACGTTTACAGCGATAAGCATACCAAAAAAAAATTGCATAATATTTTCTACAAATTACCAACCCCAATAAGGGGGTCAACGGAGAACGTAACCACCCACTTCGATGAGAAGTCGTAAAGAAACACATTACGGAACCATTTTGCATCCTACGGCAACGATACGGACCGTAGGTGCCTCAATTTCACGTTTAAACGACGGTCACAGTGTCGCCCAATCTGGCCCAATCAAATCCAATCCCAAATTGGGGGCGCCCAATCAAATCCAATCTGCGAATAATTCGCACGCCAATCGCACAAAGAAGGTAAAAAATGACCACCACAATGGTCACGTGGTACGCAAGCAAACATATTATCACCATTATAGCCAACAATAAAACTTTTTTAAAAAACAACCCTTTTACGCGGGTTGAAGTGTTAATACTGTCCGACCGGAGTATATTTTTGGGAAAAAATTCTGTGTTCGACACGGTAAGATTTATGACGATAAGCATAATCAAAAAAATGGCATAAATATTTTCCTGCGTATTAGCAACCCCCATAAGGGAGTCGACGGAGAACGTAACCACCCACTTCGATGAGAAGTCGTAAAGAAACACATTACGCAACCATTTCGCATCGTACGGCAACGATAATGACCGTAGGTGCCTCAATATTACGTTTAAACGACGGTCACAGTGTCGCCCAATCTGGCCCAATCAAATCCAATCCCAAATTGGGGGCGCCCAATCAAATCCAATCTGCGAATAATTCGCACGCCAATCGCACAAAGAAGGTAAAAAATGACCACCACAATGGTCACGTGGTACGCAAGCAAACATATTATCACCATTATAGCGAACAATAAAACTTTTTTAAAAAACAACCCTTTTACGCGGGTTTAAGTGTTAATACTGTCCGACCAGAGTATATTTTTGGGAAAAAATTCTGTGTTCGACACGATAACGTTTACAGCGATAAGCATACCAAAAAAAATGCATAAATATTGTCTGCGTATTATCAACCCCCATAAGGGGGTCGACGGGGAACGTAACCACCCACTTCGATGAGAAGTCGTAAAGAAACACATTACGCAACCATTTTGCATCCTACGGCAACGATACGGACCGTGGGTGCCTCAATATTACGTTTAAACGACGGTCACAGTGTCGCCCAATCTGGCCCAATCAAATCCAATCCCAAATTGGGGGCGCCCAATCAAAGAAGTTACAATAATATTGCTCCTCTTGCTGACATCTTTCTACAGAATATCAAACATTTCACTTATCTGTGTAAAAATGCAGTTCTTACGCCACTGTAGTTGACATTCCTGCATGTTGAGTTATATAATTTTTTAGTGATTAGTGTTTAGTTATATAATTGTTTTGTATTGATTTCTTTCTTTTTTTGTTATATGTATTTGTGTATACTTATCCGGAGTTATGTACAAGTATCCACATAGATCTTTGTCTGTTGGATAATAAATTACGATTATTATTATTATTATTATTAAGTGAGTCAGTACGTTCTGCGTCAACCCTCATACAGGGGTTGCTAATTTATACAAAATATCTAACTTCTCATGTTTATAGTTATACATTTTATTGTGTCGAACACAGAATTTTTTTCCAATAGTATACTCCGGTGGTGCAGTATTAACCCTTAAAACCCCGTAACAGGGTTGTTTTCTAAAAAAGTTTTATTATTCGTTAAAATGGTGATAATATGCTTGCTTGCGTACCAGATTACCACCCTGGTGGTTATTCTGTACCTTCTGTGTGAGATGGGTGTGCGGATTATTCGCAGATTGTATTTGATTGGGCGACACTATGAATGTCGTTTAAACGCAATATTGAGCCAAGTCTGGTCAGGACCATTCCCGTAGAATAAAAAATAATTGTTATGTGTCCCTTTACGTTTTCTTATCAAAGTGGGTCGTTACGTTCAGCGTCAACCCCCTTACAGGGGTTGCTAATTTATACAAAATATTTATATAACTTTTTTAATCATGATTAGAGTTATACATTTCATTGTGTCGTACACAGAATTTTTTCCCAAAAATATACTTCTCTCGGATAATATTAACACTTAAACCCGCGTAAAAGGGTTGTTTTTTAAAAAAGTTTTATTGTTCGCTATAATAGTGATAATATGTTTGCTCGCGTACCACGTGACCATTGTGGAGGTCATTTTTTACCTGCTTTGTGCGATTGGCGTGCGAATTATTCGCAGATTGGGCGAGATTGGGCGACACTGTGAACGTCGTTTAAACGTAATATTGAGGCACGTGCGGTCCCTATCGTTGCCGTAGGATGCAAAATGGTTGCGTAATGTGTTTCTTTACGTCTTCTCATCGAAGTGGGTGGTTACGTTCTCCGTTGACCCCCTTATTGGGGTTGGTAATTTGTAGAAAATATTATGCAATTTTTTTTTGGTATGCTTATCGCTGTAAACGTTATCGTGTCGAACACAGAATTTTTTCCCAAAAATATACTTCTCTCGGATAATATTAACACTTAAACCCGCGTAAAAGGGTTGTTTTTTAAAAAAGGTTTATTGTTCGCTATAATAGTGATAATATGTTTGCTCGCGTACCACGTGACCATTGTGGAGGTCATTTTTTACCTGCTTTGTGCGATTGGCGTGCGAATTATTCGCAGATTGGGCGAGATTGGGCGACACTGTGACCGTCGTTTAAACGTGAAATTGAGGCACCTACGGTCCGTATCGTTGCCGTAGGTGCCCAAAATGGTTGCGAAATGTGTTTCTTTACGACTTCTCATCGAAGTGGGTGGTGACGTTCTCCGTCGACCCCCTTATGGGGGTTGCTAATACGCAGACAATATTTATGCATTTTTTTTTGGTATGCTTATCGCTGTAAACGTTATCGTGTCGAACACAGAATTTTTTCCCAAAAATATACTCTGGTCGGACAGTATTAACACTTAAACCCGCGTAAAAGGGTTATTTTTTAAAAAAGTTTTATTGTTCGCTATAATAGTGATAATATGTTTGCTTGCGTACCACGTGACCATTGTGGTGGTCATTTTTTACCTTCTTTGTGCGATTGGCGTGCGAATTATTCGCAGATTGGATTTGATTGGGCGCCCCCAATTTGGGATTGGATTTGATTGGGCCAGATTGGGCGACACTGTGACCGTCGTTTAAACGTAATATTGAGGCACCCACGGTCCGTATCGTTGCCGTAGGATGCAAAATGGTTGCGTAATGTGTTTCTTTACGACTTCTCATCGAAGTGGGTGGTTACGTTCTCCGTCGACCTCCTTATGGGGGTTGCTAATACGCAGGAAAATATGTATGCATTTTTTTTGAGTATGCTTATCGTCATAAATCCTATCGTGTCGAACACAGAATTTTTTCCCAAAAATATACTCCTGTCGGATAATATTAACACTTAAACCCGCGTAAAAGGGTTGTTTTTTAAAAAAGTTTTATTGTTCGCTATAATGGTGATAATATGTTTGCTTGCGTACCACGTGACCATTGTGGTGGTCATTTTTTACCTTCTTTGTGCGATTGGCGTGCGAATTATTCGCAGATTGGATTTGATTGGGCGCCCCCAATTTGGGATTGGATTTGATTGGGCCAGATTGGGCGACACTGTGACCGTCGTTTAAACGTGAAATTGAGGCACCTACGGTCCGTATCGTTGCCGTAGGATGCAAAATGGTTGCGTAATGTGTTTCTTTACGACTTCTCATCGAAGTGGGTGGTTACGTTCCCCGTGGACCCCCCTATGGGGGTTGCTAATACGCAGAACATATTTATGCAATTTTTTTGAATATGCATATAGATGTATATTCTTGTGATCGATTCAGAATTCTTTCGAGCCTTGTTCTCGGGTAATAAAATGTTAACAACTTATTCTATTCGTGAAGGGGGTGCTTTTTTCAAATAATTGTATTTTTCGTTATAATCGTTTCAATAAGCATTTTATTTCCATAATAAATAATTATCTTTTACGGCATTTTATTGTAAATGATAACTCAAAGCCATTTTGGGAATCTAAACGAAAGCAACAAAATTATTTATATTAGGGACATCAATGTTAGTGATAAAATAAAATAAAATGTTCCATTTGCACGTTCTAGCACACTCCAAACCTAAATTGTATTTATTACATCACATTTTGCTTTTTAGATGTTTTTATTGGTAATACACAATTATTTCCAATTTTCACAATCAAATCCAATCAAATCCAATCAAAGCCCTTAATTGTGTTTGCCCAATCAAATCCAATATAAGTTCAAATTGAATCCCAATTAACCCAATCAAACACAATCTGGTCCAATCTAACTTAGATTGGGTTATATTGGATTTGATTGGGCATTTTTAACAGGGCTAGAAGTGCGAATATGCAACAATATTTAATTACTTTGTACCAGGTGGTACCCAGTCACCATTTTGTAACTTAAAAAAAGCGATGCACATTTCTGTTCATTTATTTCCATTATCGGATGATTAAAAACTCGTTCTAAATGCACAAATTACATTTTAATGCTTTTTTTCCTCACAATTTTTTATAAGTGAAATGGTTTCTGGGTACCATTCTTGCACACTTGCATACATGCATTTTTGACGTTGCAACCACAGCTTCAAAAATGCTGCCATCGATCATTTTAGTTGTGTTCTACTCAGTGCTAAAGGTTCACAGCTCTAATAACAATTTAATCAAATACGAAGTGGCTTTTGAAAGCTCAAACAATGTGCAAACATTATCAAGAACCGTTATAAACGCTAACAGCGACTTCTTCAGGGTTACTATTAAAGAAAATTTGCCCGAACTACGCAAAGGCATGTTAAACATAACACAGCTTGAAAATCTCCAAATGAATAACGTCAACTTACAATACATGGAAACAGGAGTTTTTGATAACCAAAACATTAGCCACATTTCACTTGTGGGTAACAAATTGACCAGGATCCAGTCGAAAATGTTTAACAATCTTCCAACAAAAACTCTGTACTTAGGCGACAATGAAATTACCGTTATTGAGAAAGGGGCATTTATGAACATGCTACAACTGTACATGCTGATATTATCCGAAAATAAGCTTACTCAGATTAGTTCTGGTTATTTTGTCAACACTCCCCACATATCTATTTTGGACATTGGTTTTAACCGGATAACAAAAATTGAAGAAGGGTGTTTTGGTTTTATGACCGAAGAAGATCTCACCATTAGAATTAATCATAACGCAGTTGATGAAATTCATCCTACAGGGTTTGAAAATTTGAACATAATGCAGCTTTGTCTTATCGAAAATTTAATTCGGGATGTTCCAGAGGAACTATTTACGAAAAACAAAATTGAGATGTTACAGCTGGATTATAACCAAGTAGAAGAACTTCCGGATGCTTTCTATGGGGTTAATTCAACTGTAGAAAAACTAATGTTACGTTCTAACCCCCTTAAATGCGAAACAGTTGAAAAGTTGTTGGAATTTAGTGAAAAAAGTGGATCCTCTTGTTTTTTAGATCAAGATTGTTATACTAGGTGTCGTCTAAACTAAACACTGGAAATTATAATATGTGTTTATTAATTATAAGATCATAAATGTAGTGTCATCTAAGTTTAAATTCTGTTTCCACCTTCTGTACACTTTTCAAACTTTCTGCTCCTTCAGACGAAACTCCACTCAGTGCTGGATAAGTGCAATAAAACGTTAATTCAACAACTCTTCTCAAAAACAACAGTGGCCAAAGAATCCTCATGAAACTTCTCCAACTTCTTCTGACTCTCACAATCCAACGAATTCCCAGTCAAATCAGCCAGATTCAAATGCGTCAAATCAAAAAACGCCTCCGGCAACATCTCCAAATTATTATTTTGCAAATAAACCACACTGAGTGTATCATTTTCAAAAATCTCACCCGGAAGCTCCCTAATCCTGTTGTCCCTCAGATTCAAAATCCCCAAATTAAGCCCATCAAAACTCCTAGGATCCACACTCCTGATCATGTTGTTGTCCAACAACACCATCACCGCCTCCTTCTCACTCATAAAACTGAACCACTTCTCCCTAACTTCCTCCAGCTCGTTGAACGCCAAGTCGATAAACCTCGCCGGCGCGTCGACGAAGGAATTGTCATGAAGCAACATAATTTTGTTCCTCGACAAGTTAATAACCTCCAGATTAGGCAGATCAGTGATAGCTTCCTCCTCAACATGAGTGATCTCGTTATCTTTCAAAATCAGCTCAAATATCTTCAAATTCCGAAACGCCGCGGTTGGAATCACCGTTATCTGACTATTCGTAATCACAATAGATTCAGAAATTTCTTGGTCCGAGAAAGCCCCGGCTTCCAGTTTGTGCAGAACATAGTTCTTCTCCATCAAAAAAATCGGCGTTTTGTGGCGGATTTGAATCATGTCTTCGTCCAGAACGTGGAAGTCGTCTTCGACTACGATTTTTTTGGCGCCTTCTTGGCTCTCGATGAAGTCTCTGTCGCGGTGGATGACGCTATTCGTTTCTGTGACCACGGTGTATTTGATGGCTTGGGTTGTGAGTAGCTGGATGAGCAGAAGAGCGGCGATTACGGACTCCATTGGGGCAGAGTTTGGAGGTTAACTGGTGGTTTTTCAAAACGGTGTTATTTTATGTATGGATGCGATCTGCACACCATGAAAACATGTGTTGTCTGTTTGTGATGGTAATGCAAAAAAACTTGCATTGGGTGCAACCAAGCGGAAACTGATGACAGAGTTGCCTTGATAATTTCCGGTTTGTTTTCTTTTCTGGGGAAGTTCGTTCATTATTTCTGGAATGTGTTCGGGTCACTGCGTTAATTGTGGTGATCACAGTGATGGTGCATGGTGTTGTTTAATTAAATTTCATTTATTCATGGTGATGTGGAATTTTTATTCGCTTTTATTTAAAATCAATTCACTTAAATGATAAATAATAAGAGAGATTTAACAATAAAAGTGTGACCTAAATATAAATAATGAGTGGGTTGTAATAGGGAAGACTTTAAAACCAGTGCAGTGATACCCTTAAGTGTACTAAAAAATAAATCAGTTTGTAGACTACTGTTACTACTGCCTGGAGTAAAAAAGAAAATAAAAATAGCATAAAAATTAACTGGTCTAATATACCTCAATTATTTAAAAAAATATATACTGAAAATAAACGGATTATTGATAGTGTGGTCTAAAGATAATTTTGAGGGATCTAATCTAGAATATTCTGCCAACAAGGAACGTTGCAACAATACAGAACAGAATGAATATCAAGAAAAGGTTAAAAATGGAGAGTATCTTTAAAATTCTGGAACAATCTAAGGATTGAAGATGATATTCTAGGAAAATTCACTTTAGAACACATGTACATACGTTAAAAAAATATTAACATCTTGTAAGAGAGAGAGAAAGAAATGTGTTTACGGGATTGGGAAGTCTCTGGGAGAATTCTAATCTAAAATTAATAGAACTTTGAGGAATCTAAGAAAGAAAATTATAAATAAAGTTTCACGAAAATTCTCTAAGATTCTGATAGGACGAAACGTTACGATGGATGGCAAAATAGTGTAGAGACATCAAGGAAAAGTTAAAAATTGAAAGTTTCTATAAATTCTAGAAGATTCGAAAGACTAAAAGTGACATTCTAGGAAGTTTCACTTTAGAACAAATGTACAGATGCAAGAAAATCTTAAGATCGTACAAGAGAGAAAGCGAGAAATGTATAACGAAACTGCGAAGTTTCTGGAAGAATTCAATTCTAAAATGAGTAGAATTTTTAGAAATCTAAGAAAGAAAATTATCGATGAAATTTCAAGAACGTTCTAGAATATTCTGCCAACAACGAAGGTGACAACAGTACAGAACAAAATGGATAACCAGGAGAAGCTAAAAATGGGGAGCTTTTATAAAATTCTAGAAGATACAGATTGAAGGTGATATTCTAGAAGATTTTACCTTATAACAAACGTACAGATGCAGGAAAATATTGGCATCGTGCAAGAGAAAAAAAAGAGAAATGTGATAAGAGGACTGGGAAGTTTCTAAAAGAATTCTAATCGAAAATGAATATAATTTTAATGAATCTAAGAAAGAAAATTATCAACGATGTTTCATGGGGGTTCTAGAATATTCTGCTAGTAAGAAACGTTATGACAGTACAGAAAAGGATAGAGATATCTAGGAAAGATCGTACAAGAGAGAAAATGAGAAATGTGTTAACGAAACTGCGAAGTTTCTAGAAGAATTCAATTCTAAAATGAGTAGCATTTTTAGAAATCTAAGAAAGAAAATTATCGATGAAATTTCAAGAACGTTCTAGAATATTCTGCTAACAACGAAGGTGACAACAGTACAGAACAAAATAAATAACCAGGAGAAGCTAAAAATGGGGAGGTTTTATAAAATTCTAGAAGATACAGATTGAAGGTGATATTCTAGAAGATTTCACCTTATAACAAACGTACAGATGCAGGAAAATATCGGCATCGTGCAAGAGAAAAAAAAGAGAAATGTGATAAGTGGACTGGGAAGTTTCTAAAAGAATTCTAATCGAAAATGAATGTAATTTTAATGAATCTAAGAAAGAAAATTATCAACGATGTTTCATGGGGGTTCTAGAATATTCTGCTAGTAAGAAACGTTATGACAGTACAGAAAAGGATAGAGATAACAAGGAAAGGTTAAAAATTCAAAGCTTCTATAAAGTTCTAGAAGATTCGAAGGACTTGAGATGATGTTCGAGGAAGTTTCACTGTAGAACATATACAGATGCAAGAAAATCTTATCAACGCAAAAGCGAGAAAGAGAAAAACCTGTTTATTTAAATTAATTTTGAAAAATCTTAGTCAGAACATTATCGACGAAGTTGCACGAAGGTTCTAGAATATTCTACTAGAAAGGAATTTTTCGACGGCACAGAACAGATTAGATATCAAGAAAAAATTTAAATTAGAAAGCTTCAATAAAATTCTAGAACATTCGAAGAACTGAAGACAATATTCTAGAAGGTTTCACTTTGCTGGTGAGGAATCTAAAAAAGGAAATTATCCACGAAGTTTCAAAAAGATTCTAGGATATTTTGGTAACAAGAAAGAAAAGTTACAACAGTACAAATCAGAATTGATAACTAGGAAAGTAGAAAAATGAAGAGCATCTATAAAATTCTAGATTATTCGAAGAACTGAAGACAATATTCTAGAAGATTTCACTTTAGAAAACATGTATATACATAAACAAATATTAGCATCGTGTAAGAGAGAATGAAAGAAATGTGTTTACAGGATTGGGAAGTTTCTGGAAGAATTCTAGATTAAAATGAGTAGAATTTTGATGAATCTAAGAAAGAAAATTATCGATAAAGTTTAACGAATGAAAATCTTCTATAAAATTCTAGAGGATTCGAAGAACTGAAGACAATATTCTAGAAGATGTCACTTCAAAAGACACGTTCGTTTGTAAAAAATATTAGCATCTTGTAACAGAGAAAAAGAGAACTTTTTTCATCGCACTGGGAAGTTTTTGGAAGAATTCTAGTCAAAAATGAGAATTTTGAGGAATCTAAGAAAGAAAATTATCGACGAAGTTTCGAGAAGATTCTAGAATATTCTGTTAAGAAGGAACGTTCCAAGAGTACAAAACATAATTGATAATAAGAAGAACTTAAAAATGAAAATCTTCTAGAAAATTCTAGAGCATTCGAAGAACTGAAGACAATATTCTAAAAAAAAAATATTAGCATTGTGTAAGAGAGAAACGTTAGCGGGGCCGAGAAGTTTCTAGAAGAATTCAAGTCTCAAATGGGTAGAATTTTATGGAATCTAAGAAAGAAAAGTATCAACAAAGTTTCATGAAGAGGGTCAAAGGTAAGTTTGAAAATATAAAGCTTCTATAAAATTCTAGAAGATTCGAGGAAGTAAAGGTGATATTCTAGAAGACTTCACTTTAAAACAAATGTACAGATGCAAAAAAATCATATCTTCCTGCAAGAGAGAAAGAGCGAAACCTGTTAATAGGACTCCAACGCTTCTGAAAAAATTCTACTCTAAACTGTGTAAAACTTTGGAGAATCTAAGTCAAAACACTATCGACGAAGTTGCATGAAGGTTCTAGAATGTTCTACTAAAAAAGAATGTTTTAACGACTCACAAAGTAGATGTCAAGGAAAAATAAAAAATGGAAAACTTCAGTGAAATCCTAGAACCTTCAAAGAACTGAAGTTGATATTATTCTAGAAGAGTAAGTAAAGTGCTTCCTAGAAGACTTTACTTTAGAAAAAATGTACACATGTAAGAACATTATTGGCATCGTGCAAGACAGAAAGAGAAATATGTTAACAGGACTGGGAAGTTTCTGAAGGAATTTTACACTAAAATAAGAATTTTGATAAAATAAAAAAAAACACTATCAACGAGGTTTCGCGAAAGATCTAGAATATTCTGCAAGAACTTTGTAACGGTACAGAAAAGAGTAGATATCAAGGAAAGATTAAGAAAATATAGCTCTTAAAAAATTCTAGAACATTTGAGGCACTGAAGGTAATATTCTAGGAGA